CTGTCATGGTAGTGAAAATCTGATGCTAGTGAAGCACATGGAGGTTAGAGAAAGGTGACAGCATGAGAAGACTATCAGACAGGGGGAACAGATGTGTGAAGGCTTGAAGAAAGAAACACTAAGGAAAAGGAAACAAATTTAGCTGGGCTAGAATTTCCAGTGTAAGATGAAGGAGAGAATAAGATGAGGCTGGAGATGAGGTCACTTCATGAGGACCTTTTAAACCATATTAGGGGACCATGATGAGCCTTGGGAGAGTTGCCAGGGGCAGGAGCAAGGTACTCAGACTTGGGGTTTAGAAAAGTCACTTTGGGTGAGAGGTAGAGATGGTATCAAAGAGATCAGTGAGAGAGGTGAGGAGATCGGCTGGGGGACAGCTGCTGCGGTCAGTTCTCTGCTTGATGGTAAACGCTTTGTGGGAAATAGGTAATAATCACATTTTCAGTGTTGCTGAAAAGACTTCACCTATGCTGCTGATCATATTTCAAAAATTAAGAAAAGTGCCAATTATAACACAGGCAAGGTAATACATGTAGGTGACCCATATGCATGAATATGTCTAAAAGACACACACGTATCTGTCTTTTTAATTAAGCTATCATTCCCTAGATTTAGATCATGTGGTCTTCCATGATGTGTAACATACCTAGGAATAACCAATTTAATCCTGTCTTCTTGAGTTTGTTTAAGGGCTGATAAAAGAGTTAATGAAGATACAAGTGAAGGAGAGCATAAATGGCAAAACACTCATTTGAAAAGTTACTTGTCTATAGTTGATTGAATAAAAATATTTTATTAAGCCTTTTGTCAGCAGATTATGATACTTACCTTATGTATAACACTCATTATTAACCATAGCTCTCATTTTCTTTTGATACAATGAAAAGAGTAAAAGAATTTTCAAAGAACATGAAAGGACTTCATGAAATTCTATTGCAGTTAACTAAATCAACATTTAATACTATAAAGTAACTCAGTAGCGAAAGTGTTCTAATTTTTATATTAGTTGATATATCCTTATCCTTGATTTATAATATAACTATACTTTTAAAACATTTTGAACATGTGAGAAAATGATATATTACAAATCTGCCAAAGAAAAGGAGGCAAAAACCAGCTAACTTCTGATTTAGGTTGTATATGAACTTTAGTTGTGTTTTGAAGAGGAAAAAAAAAATAACAAAGTAACAACAACAAAGACAAAACCAAAACAACACAGAAACAATACAGTATTTCAAAACAAGATGATGGGACATTAATAATGGTTAACAAATAAGTGAAATAAATGAAGTAGTTTTGGATGATATGGGTTATCTGTGCTGATTCCTACACATGGTCTTTACTTTTCTAAAGTTTATTTTTTGATGATTCATAAAGAAATATTAATGTACATAGTTAAACACTGATTCAACAACAAACTTCATGTTTATAAATTTTCATATACCTAAACTGTAAATCATCTTAAAGGATTGATTTACATATTGATCTATCTATTGAAATCTTAAATTTAAACGTTCCTTGTTAATTATTATCCTTACCATGGTTGCTTCATTACAATATTAACTAGCAGTGTTCAGAAAAAAAGGGGCCTATGATTTTATAGCTGAATGTTTTAAATAGACTGTCACAGAATTCTGTGTGAAACCAAAGATTTTGTCATTTTAGAGCGAGAAGGAGTTGAGAGAAAAAGATGTTAATAGTTTGTTAGGTTAATATTTGGTCCACAATCATTTTCCGTTTTTTGTTTTTTTTTTTAGTATGTCTTAAATGCTGCATCCAGAGATTTGGCTCAGATGTCAGGAATAATGATCTTCATTATAATGGTAGACCTTGATGAGGGTTCTGGATAAAAAAAGAAAAAAAAAAGAAAAAGAAAAAAGCACTCTTAGTACTTTACATATACAGACATGTAGCACCATCTACTGGATTAGAGTAAGTGAACAAAGTCTGTAAACATGTCTTTCCACTATCAAAAATGTGAGCTTCTGAATATAAAAGCTTCTTAAAGTATTAGCTTACCCCATTTAAAAAACTTTTTGGACTATTTTACTGATAGGTGAAAATACTTAATAAAAAGGACCTTCTTTCCCTCTTTGTCCTAGGTTTTAGGTGACAGTCACGGAAAAAAAATGTTAGCTGTTATTTATAGTCACCCATCTACAGCAACTGATCACACACACACACACACACACACACACACACACACCACTCTACCCAATTTAATTCCATAATAACACGCATACCTATTGTACCCACATCAGTTGCATAATGCTGTTTACAAAGCAGTGGTTGTTGTTGGTAGTATAAATTTTGTGATTGTGCATTTCCCAGAAAAGGACACGAGAAAGTATAATCAGAGAAGTCTTTCCTCGATGGATCCCTTGCATTAGAAAAATATTCTTTTTAAATATAGCTATGGCCCGTCATTATCAGGAGAAATAAATCTGTAGGGATAATCTGTTCATTAATTCAGCAACTATAAATTGATAAATTAATATGGGCCAACAGCAAAATATTTATTTTCCTTAAAAATAAGGAAACCCTACAGTGACATCAGAAACTTTGCATAGTCTTTGGCTATGAATCCAAGGCTCCTTTACAAGGGCTTGCAATGTCTTTCACTAACAGTGCACAATAGCTAGTTATCTGATGTAATATTGTGAAGTGTACACATTTTCAAAACGATATAGATGCTGGTCAAGACCCTCATCTCTAGGATTACTTTTTGTGTAGGTAAGGAAATTGTGGAAGAGGACAATTATAGGATCTCTTCTGACATTCTTCCTATGAAACTTATTTCATTAACTAAGTCATTATCTACTTTATTATAGATTGTAATAAAATACATTTCCTCAGGAGGTAGTAAGTGCCTAATCAATAGAAGTGTAATTCTGATGTATACCTTGTAGTCAGGGGCCACCTTGGAGGTTTCTTCTAATTCTGAGGTTATATACATGCTCTGAATCTAATCATATGAAACTATATTAAGAATTAATTACATAAAGAAAATCTGAATGAAGATTGAAAATGTAATCAAGACATCATATTTCTGTGTAGTAAAATAACATAATAAAAATTACAGTTCTTTTTTTTTTGTCTTTCTGATACAGGGTTTCACGACACAGTTCAGGCTGGCTTTGAACTCACTTTGTAACCTATCCTAGCCTTGAACTCAAAGTGATTCTCCTGCCTCAACACTCCATGTGCTGGGACTACAGGTGGGCAGCACCACACCCGAATAAGCTCTTCTTAAATTTTTCTGTATATTCAATAGAAGTTCAATGAAAATTCTCAGTACCTTTCCCTTTAAAAATAAAACAAAACTTGGCAAATTGCTTCCAGTTTCAAGATGTATTTGAAAATGTGTTTTAGATAGACTGAAGATTATTTATGATGGTGGTGATATACGGTACATTTGACCTTACCATGCTTTAAAGCTATACTACTCTAAAAAGTGTGATACTTTTGTAGAGATAAACAAATCAATGAAACACCAAATATATTTTTGCGTGTATGAGAATTTAATATACAAAAAAGATCCATTTTAAAGAAATGGAGAGGGACTATTTGACAGTCTACTACTATTTGTTTTCAAAAAAGTTGTAAATATACTTCCTTTTACACATGAATACAAATTTCATGTAAATTGAAATTTTACCCAAACATATATAATTATAAAAATAACAAAAAATTATTGGAGGCCATTTTTATAGATTTTTGGTGAAAGTTCTTCCTTATTGTGGCATAAAACATAAAAGTCACCCATGAAAAGACTTACAGATGTAAGTATACAAAAATTTAAAACTCTTCAATTTCTATATTTATTCAGTCAATGGATTTTAATCAAGTACTTCTCATGTTGTAGGAATCCCATAGTTTCTGAATACAGGGTGAACAAAGTGTATCTGACTCTACCCTTATGCATCTTAAAGTCTAATGGCAAAGATAGAAAATAAATAAGCAAGAAAATATAAGCATAATTACTAACGTGGTGCGTTGTTTAGGTGTAATCACTCAATGTGAAAAGCTTGCCATGGAAGGACAGGGAAAAATTATACTGAGTTTGAATGGGTAGGAAACATCCCTCTGAGTTTATAGATAAACTGAAGAATAATACAGCCCTGATGAATAATGTAGAACAAGCCATTAAGAAAGGAAAATGTTCCAGATTTTAGGAATTTTATATACACACCCTTCCAGGCCATGGCCTACCTCTTCCTACCAGGCTTCACTTCCTAACGTCACACCCAGCTGTAAGCCCATCATTGCACTAACCCTGGGGTGAGTATTACACACTCATGATCCAATCATATCCCCCAAATCCCACCTATGAGCACATGAAGTTTGGGAGGATATTTTAGGTATCAACTGTAACAGGCACTTCACGTCTGTTTTCTTTCCCAAACTCTTGCCTGACCACTAGGCACACATGATTAGACAAAAACAAACTGTGCATTTCAAACAACACTTGACTGGTACTCTTCAGTAGTGTCAAGGTAAGTAAAAAATAAGAAAGCCTCAGAACCTGTCACAGACCAAGGGAGATGGAGGAGACATAACAACGAAATGTAGAGTGGTATGCTGGAATGGAGCCTGGGATAGAATAGGAAGTCACAGAGGAAATGGGCAATTTGGAGCTTACTTTATGGCAATATACCAATACAGGCTTCTTTATTTTGACATATGCACTATGATAATGTGGATTGATAACATTAGGGAAAATGGAAGCTGGGTGAGGGATATATAGACACGGTACTATCTTTACAACTTTTATGGAGATCCAAAGGTATTCCAAAATAAAAATTATACTGCAAAACTTGTATAAACATGTTTATAATAGCTTTATTCATGATTTCTCCAAATTGGAAACAATCTAGCAATTGAAAAATAAACTCTTCATACATAACACGATATAGGTGAATACCAAAAATCCCATGTTAAAAGAAGAAAAGCAACTTAGATTAAAAAAGGACGTGCTGATAACACTCTGGGTCCAGTCATGAGAGAAATCACACAATACTTTAACAGGGAAAGTTAATCCCAGCTGCTTGAACTGCAGGAGCAAGAGGATTCGTTGAGCTCAGGAGTTCAGTGTGAGCCATGCTGGGCACCACGGTGAGACGTCTAAAAGCAAAAACAGAAACAAACAAACAAAAAATAGAAACAAAACAAAAAAGTGTTAATCATCATCGGACTGGAATAAAAAGTTTGCTCTTAATAGTAAAGAAAATTCTAAAGAATACGGAAAGAGCAGATGTGAGGAGCAGCCACCAGCTGTAAAGCTGAAATACAGTACCAAGAACACAGCTTTCAGGCTCACTTATGTCAGGGACGTTTTGGTGCCAGCGGAACTTGCTAGAAATGTGTTCTCCATGGTGCTAGGAAATGCATGAATGGGAGCTGTCTCCCTGGAAAGCACCTGCTACAAAACTGCCCAAGTCGAGAGGGGCCAGGGCTCGAAGAAAAGTAGCCGGGTGGTGCTGGTTGCTGTGTGCCGCAGGAATTAGGAACCGGAGAGGCCTAAGCACTGCAGGAGCAACACGCTGGAGAAAGCCTACCGTGCAGCGGTTGGATGCCCAGGAAGCTGTGTGTACTGCAGAGCCAGGGTGGACAAGTTGCGCCTGCTGTAGAAGCCACAAAGGAGAAACCATTTTCCTTCTGCATTGTCTTCCTGTGCCCTCTACTGAAAAAGCTTGATGTCAGGCACACTACCAAAACCAACCAACCAACCAACCAAGACACCACCAACAAAACAAAACAGAACACAAAAAGCACAACTCTTTAAAGAGCCTGCACTATTTTCACAAAACGGGCAAAAGAGGTGAATTTGGACTTGAGATGCAATAAATCATCAACTGGCACACTATACCACCTCTGTTTACTTTGAAAATTTAAAAGAAAAGGAACTAATTCAGACAGAGTTGTCTCTAGGGGTTGGGGGAGGTGAGAATAGGGGTTGACTGCTACGTGTCCTTAGAAAAAAAGAGAAAGAGACACCACAGAAAAGAGGCTGGGTGAGGACACAGTGGGAAAGACACTGTCTGTAAGCCACAGGCCTCACCAGAAACCAACCCTGCCAGCATCTTAATCTTGTATTTTCAGCCTCTAGAACGTGCAGAAAATAAGTATTTGCTGTTTGCCATCCAGTCTGTGGTATTTAACTTTGATATCACTGGCAAAGTAATACATATTACAAACAGTCACCTGGGGAGCAAGTGCCAGAGGCAAAGAGTAGAGGTTGTGGCTTTGGGTCTTCAGAAATACCAATATTTTGTGGCCAAGGAGGACAACAGAGAACAGCAAACAAAACCAATAAAGCTCGTGGGAAACTTTCCCAGATGACAGAAGGGAACAAAAGCCAGGAGGAGGACATGGTTTAGTAGGGGAGGGACAGCTGAACCGCTAGATCAGGCACCTGCGTGGCCCAGCAGCCTAATAAAGAAGCCGGAAATAGCAGCAAGAGCAGTTTCCAAGCTGTGATGGTGAAACACACTCAAAACAAAGTTACAAATAAAACCACAACCAATGTGAGAGAAAATATTATTTATATTCTTACAGACAATACTACTGACAACATTAAAAGCGCTGCTACAATTTACAGAGGAAAAATGGGCAAAGGATACAATAAAGAAATTTTTAGAAGAAATGTGATACTCGTAGTCACTCAGAAGTGTGATACTTAGTGTCATTTACTATTGAAATATTAACAGCCACTGTATTTTGCCTTTAGATTGTGAAATAATATTTCATAATGTCCACAGTATGCAATAATACTTTCACATTACTGGTAAGGAAAATCTTTATCAAAGACATTTTAATGTTACCTATCAAAATAAAACTGCTTATGTCTTAAAATTGCTTCGCCATCAATTTTACTTCAGGAATATGTTTTGCAGAAACACGTATGAGTAATAAGTCTATATCTTATTACATGTAACCTAAGGCACTATTAAAAGATGTATTTCCATTTCTGAGATTTTAAAATGTGAAAATAAGTACATTCTAGAATTGATGACATATAGTATTACAAACATATTAATGGCAGCATTGTTTAAAAAGTTGTAAGTGATTGATAAAATGGTGAATTTGAAGCTTCCATTAAAAGATGAAGGTAATCTAAGTATACTGCCATGGAAACATGGCCACCACTGTTACCTGAAAAAAATGAATTTGCAGAATATTTATAACGTGATTCTAGTTCTATAGGATAAAATCTCACCTATGTATATACTTATGGCTTAATTAGAAATATGCTAGTAGAAAAAACACCAAATAGTTATAGGTTCTTGAGAATGACTGGCATGCAGGTAAAAAATATCTTTTCTTTTGCTTTGTATTTCTATATTTTTCTATTTTTAACAAAGACAAACTTATTTTTGAAAAACAAAAGTTCTCTTTATATTTTAGCCTTAATAATTTGGTTTAGGTGAAGTTAATTATGTGGAAATAAGTCAATAAAAGGGTTACATCTACCTAACTATTTTGGAATTAAAGTATTTCATGTTCAGCAACAAGGTTTGTAAAAGTATAGATTTTTGCTTTGATATTTAGCTTTGAATGAATTCAAGTATAGTTATCTTCTACAACTTGTAGAATCTTCAAAGTGAGAACAAATTTGACACAGGATTCGTGGTGATGAGGTGGAGAATAGGGGTGTCACTTTAAGTTAGAGCAGTGTTAGAGACAGTTGTTCATTAGATATGAAAAACTAATTATGCTCACAATGCTTAACCACTTCACCTTAGGGAGCTTCAATTTATCTAGAAAAACTAAATTGGTTGTTTTTTCCTGTCTAGTTCTGAGATACTATACAACAGAGACTAACCCAAATGCCTACCTAGGCTAACAGGTAAATTCAAACTACTGACCTGGCGAAATGCTTGCCGTTCTAAAGGGGGTGCCTGTCTTTCGATAATGTGGGTTCTGTCACCTAGCCTACTTCGAGATAAGGAAAAATATTTCTATGTGAAAGTCCACGTCTTTAAATGCTCACATAGGACCCTAACCCTAACCCTGAGGTTCCGAGGTCGGCCGGAGGACCCCGCAATGGAGCTCCACGCCTTGTTAGCGCGCCTCTACCGCACTCAGCTGCGAGAGCTGCGCAGCGAGCCCCAGCTAGGGATCTAGGGATCCAGTGCCGGCACCGGGGCCGCAGATTCTACACCCTCTGGGGAGCTGGGGAGCTGGGGAGCTGGGGAGCGACCCGAACCGCCTTTAGGTTGAAAGTTACTCCCCCAGCTTTTGTGCATGGCGAAGTTGCTCTATTACCCCGGGGGCTCAAGCAAGATTCTTCCAACAGGAAGCGGAGAATTCCCAACCGGAAGTTCCTCCTACTTGCCTGAGCGCTTCCTGTTTGGTAACTAAGGACGCGAAGGGGTTGCTGGGCTCTGGTGGCAACTTTGCGGGTGCCTCAGCTAGACTCGGGTATCCCCCGCTGGAGAAGGCGGGCTTTTGTTCTGCTCTCTATCTGGAATTCTCCACCTGTTTGCCATGAGTAGCGAGTTCCTGGCGGAGTTGCACTGGGAGAATGGGTTTGCCCTCCCAGTGGCGAATGAGGGGAACAAAATGCTGGAAGATCAGGTAAAGAAGACCTGGAGGAAGAAGAGAGGACCTGTTGAAGGTGTTTTCTGGTTGGCAGCACCACCCCAGCCCTTTTATTTCTGTTCTTCCCTAATCTCATCCTTTGTTCTGCTTCCCTGAGCCAAGTCCTTCCTGTGTCATCTTGCCTGCTCCTTTGTGCAGTTGTGAAGCATTTAAAAATTTTATTGAAAGAGTAGTTGCTATTCAGAGTTGTAAAACCTGGGTCCTTATTCTTTTCTTCTCATTTATTCCACTTACTTCTCTGGTCTGGAGAGGAAAGGCTGCCATGCTTGCTTTTTCTTTGAAATTAAGCACTGTTTGCAAAGGGATTTTGGAGGTCTGCATAGCAACAGTTATTTGCATATGTTTGTAAGTGAAACACGTCCTAGTTGATATTTTTTTGTGAGTTTCTGCCTATGATGTTTAAAGCTGAAAGTGACTTGATATGTTTTTAAGAGGGTCATTCTAGCAAGAATGTAAAGTGTGTAAAGTAGAACTTTCTAAGTGAGGATCAAGTTGTCACAGATTGACATAAAACATTTTACATTGTAAGGACACATTTACATCAACCACAGTTCACAGCACTTGGATTTTCTGAGTTCCTATAAGAACTGACTATTCAGCTCAGCTTACAACATTGTAAGGCTTCTGAAGTCTGCATCTCCACATTTGTCCAAACTGACCCAGCACACCAGTTCCTAAGTGATCTGAACCACATAGTCCTAGTCAGTCATAGTCACAGCAATGGTCCTACTTCATGGTGTCCATTTTTTGGTTAGCTTTCTATTATTGTTGCAAAATACCTGAGATGAACAATTTTAAGAGGGAAGCTTTACTTTGGCTTATGGTTTCAGAATTTTCAGTCCATGGTCAGCTGGCCCCATTGCTTTTAAGACTGTGGTGTGGCAGAAACATGGCAGAAGGATGTGGTGGAGGAAAGCCACTCATGGAGAACAGGAAGAAGAAGAAGAAGGAGAGAGAGAGAGAAAAAGGGATCAGGGTCCCCATATAACCTTCAAAGTGATCCATTTCTTCTAACAGAGCCTCACCTTCTAATAGCCCATTTAGCTATAAATTCATCCATGGATTAATCAGTTGGTGAGGTAGTGCCCTCATGATCCAGTCACTTAGACTCCACTTCTGAACACTGCTGCATTAGGGGATCAAGCCTTCGACACACGAGCTTTCAGGGGAACATTTCAGATATGAACAATAACACCCATTTTAAAAAAACGATATGAAGGGACTGTTTCCATGGGGAACACCAAAACCTTCTATAGATAATATATATATCTATATATCTGTATCTCTATATATATCCTAAATACCTTCATTTTAAAATTTATTATTTATTATTATTTGTCTTTTTCGAGACAGGGTCTCACTATGCAGTTCAGGCTGGCCTTGAGCTCACTTTGTAGCCTAGGCTGGTCTCAAACTTGCAACCATCCTCCTGCCTCAGCCTCCCGAGTGCTGGGATTACAGGCGTGCGTCACCACGCCCAGCTTCATACCTTCATTATTAAGTCACAAAAATAAAGAAATGAATAACTTCTTAATACATTAAAATTATGGCAAAGTAAGCAAAAGAGGGATTTAAAACTCAAAACTGAAATAAATGAACTAGCTAATATAAAATATGTACAGAAAATCTGTGTGATGAATATTATGTAATAAGGCTAAAGGCTAATATTTAATATAATTCATAAGTTTAGTAAAATATAGGACGTAACAAATAAGTTTGTATGTTTCCTTGAATAAAAATTTTAGTATTCCACACTTCAGTGGACTTCGTTGTACCCCTGTGACGTACCCATAACTTTGGAGATGTCGTTTGATTATGAGGACATATATTTTTGCTTTGTTGACTTTTTATACTGCTTTGAGGTATGGCATTTTCTAATGGTTCTGAGAAACTGTCTTGCAGTTTCCCAAAGGTTTATTTTGCCTTTTTAATGGTTATACTGTTTTGTTTCTATTAGGAGTTCGATTCAAGGACAAAATGTATTAAGAAATCAATTTTAATCACATGATAAGCTTAACCTAAATTTATGAATTTGAAAAAGTAGTTGAGAGAGAAGAAATCATACCTGGTATATAACACTAGTAAGATTGGTAATTCCTGTCCCCTTTCCCTCACTCCTCTTCCATCCCTCCCTCCTTTTCTGTCTCTTTCTTTCTGCCTTGCTAGTATGTTCTTGATCACATGAGCCATCTTGTGATTTACTTAGGGAAAAGAATCTCACTGTGGCCCTGTAAAAAATGTAGTACTACTGTATGAAAAAATGTATTTTAGCAATGGCGCCTGCTGTGCTGCAATTCTAAGAGTGCTTTCTGTATTGTGTTACTTTCCCATAGGCTTTTCTAAGTGACAACACCATTTTACATTTAAAAGACAGTTTTTAGAAGTTCCTGTATTTAAACAAGCAAAATTATATGCTGGGATGTTTATATCCTTTCCAAACTCATATGGGGAAGTCCTAATCCCCAAGGTGATGGTTTTGGAGGTAGGAACTTTGGGGGGTAATTAGGTCATAGGACAGGAGCTCTTATAAATGAGCTTAGCGCCTTTAAAAATAGAAGATATAAGAAACAAATGATTTTTTTCTCTGTCACTAAGGCATCTGTCTGTAAACTAGGAAGAGGGCCTTCACTAGAAATCAGGGCTGCGGGCACTTTGATCTTGGAATTCCCAGCCCTCAAAATTGTGATCAATAAATGTCTGTTCTTTAGCCACCAAGTCTATGGTATTTTTGTTATAACATCTTAAACATACTGTGACAGAACATTTAATTTTCTTTTGATTTTTAGGTCCTTCAATATGGTAAAATATAATAGGACTTTGGTTGATCACAGTATTTATTATTTACAGTTATCAAAGCTGCAGAATGAAAAATCAAACATGCAAGATCAGCTATGTGACTATGAAGATCGAATTACTGCTATGAATTCTCATTTCAAAAATGTTCAGCAAGAATTATCATTTACACAGGTATGGTAACATTGAAATTGATGTTTATTATATCTGTGTAGTCATGGAACATTTCACAGTTAGTTTGTATTTGTGATTTTATGTTAGAGATATAATAGAAAGATAGCATAATCCAACCATTGTGAACATAACCTTGAATGTTAAAGCAGATAGAAAAAAAGGTTTGAGAAACAAATTACTGCTACCAATTTTAAACAACAGTTAATTCATATTAAAAGAGAAATCATCCAAACAATCTCATGTAATAGTAAGCAGCAGATTTATTTAAGAAGGATACAATAATGGCAGTATGAAATGATAGCTTATAGGTAGAAACAGAGCTAATATAATGCAGAATAGATTTCTATCTTCTTTTCAGTTTTTCAACCCAACCCATTCTACTCACTTTAGTAAACTTTATGGTGTCAGGGTATTTTAGTATAGTTCAAGAACTGAAATTTTAATGATAATCATTATGTTAAAAAGTTAAATTATGTGTAGTCTTTTTAAGATAACTTGAGAATACATTTTAGAAATAACACAAATATAATTAAATTAAAACTCAAAGTAATGAAATAAGCTTCTGTTTTAAGAATAATCTAGCTAAGTGTAGAGATTCACTCCCTGATGATGCCCAGAAAGCCAGACAACTTGAAAAATAAGCATAAGACTTCTTTATCAACTTAAAAAAATTCATTTACTTTTCTGAGAAAAAATTATAAATCTTAAATGACATACTCAATGTATCATTAATAGTTTGCAAATCTTATTAGGAAGTTACATATTTAATAAACATTTGAAAACAATACTCATGAGTCTTGAATACTTTGTTTGAGTAATGGACAAAACTATCTGGAACAGTAGTTTTCCTCAAGTTATTAAACTAGTGATTTGAGGACCTGAGAGACAGAATCACTGTAGGTGTATTTTAATACCACCAAACTTGAATGAACAAGCCTGGATTAAATAGAGACATAAGATGGTACACTTCCTACAACAGTAGCAGCTTTAGTACTACTAGGCTAAAAGTAATACTGACAGTATGAACTTTGAAGCACTACAAGATCACCAGTCAAGAAATTTTTTATTAGATAAAAAAACAAAGGTACAATTGTATACTAATATACTCTTAAGAAATATTTACCACCATCAGTTTTTAAGGAATTATTTTAAAGTTATCTGTTAGTTAAAATATGTGATCAATAATATAAGTATTCCTTTTCCCAATTATGTTTATTATGTTTAATTTATTATTATTATCATTGTTATTATTTGGTACTGGGAATTGAACTCAGGACCTTGCATTTCCCAGGCAGGCTCTATGTCGCTGAGCTATCTCCCCGGCCCTATTTCTTACATATAGGTAAATAATGAATTATAGCTTTTAGGTCTCAACACATAAACTTTGGTTTCCTTTGGTTTTCCTGCACCAACATAGTATCTGAAGGCTGCTGGTGCTATTTCCTCCGGGAAGTCCATGCGCTGACTTTCTTACCAATAGTGAGCAGTGTTAACCACACCGTCATCACAGTCTAATGTGAAGGTTTCATCGTAGCGGAGTTAAGAGTCCTTAATCAGAGTGTGTTGGGGGAACTTCTTTTTGCCTAATGGATTATTATAAATATTTCATAATAATACAACTTAAAAAGCATTTCCATTTTGTGTATTTCTCTACAGTCTCTTTACAAAGCAAGGGAGAATGAGATTGAAAGTGAAGAACATTTTAAGGCCATCGCCGAAAGAGAGCTAGGACGAGTGAAGAGTGAAATACGACGACTAGAAAATGAGATAGCTTCCATACGCGAGCGGAAAACTGACAAGGAAGTATGTGACCAGACGTTTTATACTTCAGGACCTCTCTCTCACGAAATGAGCTTCTTTTTTCTGTAAAGGAAAGCTGTTCACTGGTTTCTTGACATTTACTTAAGTTATTTTCTTGGACAATGAAATGACATGGAGTTGTGATTTGAATGAAATAATGATAAAATATTACATTTCCCCCCATTATTCAATCATCACTTACTTTCTGAGACTTGTTATATTTAAAGTATCATGCTGGCCAACTGTTATAAAATACTAGGCCTGGTTAGCATGTGTGTGCTATATTTGTACCAGCCACATCAATTTCAGTTTTGAATATCATTTAAAATTTCTACATTTCATATTAATTTCTAAGCTTTATGAATCTAATGTTAAACTACCTTAACCTATTTCTCCTTCTTTAGTTTTCAGTTACTTGATTGGGAGCTCATTTCAAATGTTTATTCTTCTTTTTACATATGCATGTATACATAAATACACATGCATAAGTATAAATGCATTTACATATTTTATAATAATGTAATATTTATATATGCAATAGAATTATATAGCTATTAATTTATATTTCTTTATATATTGTCTTTTCTTTTATGAATCTAGATTCAGTATATGACTAAATTAATGGAAATATTTTTTTTCTTTCTCTGCTGTGAAATTAGAAGCACTCCCAAAGTTTCTATACATGAGACCTCTTAGGGAGAGCAAATATGATTAGAAATGGGGCTGAGGGATAGGAACTTGGCATGGGTTTTAGCATATTAGGGCTATTATTCTAACTAAGATTGCATATATATGTATTTTGGGTGGCTTTAGTGTAATAACTGAGATTGTTTTAAAAGTCTGAAGCCTTTTAGAATCCCAAAATTTATACAGGTTCAATGCAATCCTAATCAAATTACCATTAGTCTACCTCATAGATCTAGAGAAAACATTCCTAAAATTCATTTGGAATCAGAAGAGACTCAGAATAGCAAGAGCAATCCTGGGCAACAAAGGCAAGGCAGGAGGCATCACAATCCCTGACTTGAAATTATACTACAAAGCTACTATGATTAAATCAGCATGGTATTGGCAAAAACCAGACCTGAGGATCAATGGAACAGACTAGAAGATGCAGCCACAACCACAAACACACTCAGCTACCTTATCTTTGACAAACGGTCCAAACATGTTCACTAGAAGAAAGATAGCCTCTTTAATAAATGTGCTGGAAAAATTGGTTTTCCACATGGCAAAGACTAAAACTAGACAGACCCATGTCTATCACCATGCACTAAACTAAAGTGAAAATGGATCAAAGATCTAAATATTAAAATAAAAACACTAAATCTACTGGAAGAGAAAGTCTTGAAGAGATAGGGGTAGGCAGAAAGTTCATGAACAAAAACCAAGCTGCATGGGAAATACTTCAAAGACTCAACAACTGGGGTCTCATCTCATTGAAAAGTTTTTGCACATCAAGAGAAATCACCAACAGAGTAAAAAGAATACTCACAAATTGGGAAAAAATTTTAGCCAGCTGTCCTTCAGACAAAGGACTTCTACCTAGAACATACAAAGAATTAAAAAAATAAGGCCCCCAAAATTCAGAGACCCAATCTGAAAATGGGCATCTGAGATGACTACACACTTCTCAGATGAAGAAATACAAATGGCAAATAAATATATGAAAAATTGTTCAGCGTCATTAGTCATTTGAGAAATGCAAATTTAAAAAATACTGAGATTCCATCTCACCTCCAAAAGAATGGCTACCATCAAGAAATCAACCAATAACAAATGCTGGAGGGGCTGTGGGGAAAAAAGAACCCTTCTTCACTCTTGGTGGGAGTGTAGACTGGTACAACCACTGTGGAAATGAGTTTGGAGATTCCTCACAAAATTAGGATTAGAGGTCCCATTCAACCCAGCTATCCCCTTCCTGAATATTTTTCCAGAAGAACTGAAAACATTATACTACAGCGATATATGTGCACGCACGTTTATAGCTGTGCAATTTGTAATAGCTAAATCTTGGAAACAACCCAAATGCCCATCAACTGAGGAATGTATAAAAAAGATGTGATATTTTTATACAATGGAGTATTACTCAGCTATAAAGAAAGATAAACTTGAGGCTTTTATAGGTAAATGGATGCCACTAGAGATCATACTCATAAGTGAAATAAATCAGACCCACATGTGTAAACATCGTATCGTCTCCCTAGTAGAAGAACCTGAAAAAGTAAATAAAATCTGAAAGGTACAGTAGATATTGTGATAGGGAAAGAAACTGCTCAAATGGAAAGAACAACTGGGATGAGGAAAAGGAGAAAAGAAAGGGAAGGGAAAAAAATATATATATATGCACAAGATAGCTAGGATAATTGTACTACTAATTTCTATGGGTTTATTGAAAGGAACAGTTAATGTTAATTGTTTGATCAATCTTGCATACCTGTACCTGGTAATCTGAGTAGCTACTGTGAAGATAACAACATGTAATATAACAACCATTGTTAATTTTCTATCATCTTATTTTGTTTTGTAATACTGTATTTTTATTGTTTTTGCCTTTGTTTTTGTTATTTTGTTTTTGTTCATTTCCTTTTAAAATAAAATTTTATAGAAGTCTACAAAGCCTTTTAAAGAAAACTTTTGTTAACTACTGTTCTCAGCTTTGTATATTCAAATCTCTATTTTACAATTAAGGAATTAAAATACAAGGATAATAGTTATATAATTAAAAATGGTATACTGTAAACATCTGGAAGGCAGGGATAGGATTTCTTCTGAATATATTTTGTAGTCTGTATTATTATGTTTTCGTAGAATTTGAATAGAAAATAATATTTTGTAATTTTTCTTTTCTGTCACATTCCTTGGAAATTAGAATGGCATATTTAAAGCTACTCAAAAATTGGATGGTTTGAAGTGTCAAATGAACTGGGATCAGCAAGCATTGGAGGCTTGGTTAGAAGAATCAGCTCATAAAGACAGTGATGCTCTCACTCTTCAGAAATATGCACAACAAGATGATAATAAAATTAGGGTGAGAAATGATAAATTTTAATTGATATTCTGATTGAGAAGGATTCTTGGAAGCATTTCAGAAGAGAAAGTCTAATCTAGAACTGTTTATTGATATTTTAGCTATTTTGTTTAAAATGTAGTTTGAGTATTACACGTAGTACTTGCTGATTTGAGACTATAGTGCTATTACATGATGTTATAACCATTTCTTAAAATCTATTTACACCTGGCGATGCTAACAAAATTAGTATTATGAGGCTTGCTATTTTCTGGAGATTTAATACCAAATGTATTGTTTTAGGTATTTCCAAATGGCATATTACAATATAATCTTTTTTCTAATTTCCTTTAGAAAATATTAAAATCATTTTAGAAACAATTAAATGTTCTTCTTGAAGCTATGTGTAAACAGATTAGTGCTTTAGGGTGAAAAGATAAGGAAAACATTATTTTACAGTTGTTCTCTATATAAATACATACAAATAATGACACAATGTTAGTTATGATATCTAACAGATTTTAAATTAGTAAAATAATTATTATAAATATTTTTCATGTAATGACCTCATAGGCACTGACCCTGAAGTTAGAAAGACTGACCCTGGAATATAATCAGAAAAGAAAGGTTCTTGACAACGAACTTACAGAGACTCTAAGTGCCCAGGTTGGTTCAGGAAGATTTTTATTTCTTAGTTCTCAAATTGATGTTTGCAAAAGCACTTAAGTTCTCAGAAATGTTTGCTCTCTGTTTGACAGCTAGAATTGGATAAAGCGGCACAAGATTTTCGTAAGATTCATAATGAAAGACAAGAACTCATTGAACAGTGGGAGAACACAATAGAGCAGATGCAGAAGAGGGACCGAGACATAGATGACTGTGCCCTGGTAAAGTAGTCTGGCCCTCGTATTGTTCGGATATATTGTTCATTATTCCAAATGTAAATCACACCGATAGCTGAGTGTCACTTTTGCAGCAGACTTTAATAGTTTTGGTAAACTTTTTTCAAAGCGGACCCTGTATCATTTAGAAAAGTGATTTTATGAAGATTATTTGCTTATAGTATTATAGTAGCCAAAGATTGGATCCTGTCATCTATTAATTTTGAAACAAATATTATTGCCATAAAACCAATGTTTTGTCTTACACGTGGCTGCCCCGATGCCTGGGATTTAACATGTGTGCTGCTTTGGCAGTAAGTTACAGGTTTAGGGAAATGAGCCTTGGTAGATAACCAAGAAACAAGGAGGGAGATTCAGACAAGAAACCTAGATGGCCCCAAACGTTTTACTGTTGAAGATGGGGCACCAGTGATGTGGAAAATCAGAAGAGGAATTGCGTAGTGCACTGGTGGATGCAGACATACTGTTATCACTTGTTAGTTTTAGAGGTAATTTAGCAGAATCGTTTTGGGAAATCATTAAGGAATGAAATATTGGTGAGTAAAAGTGGAAAGGCTAGGAGGGGTTGGGATGAAGAGGTTGAAGAGGAAAGAAAGTGAGGAGATGTGTTAAATTCCATTCTGAATTTCCTCCACAAAAGGCAACCAGCAAAAAAAAAAAAAAAAAAAAAAAAGGCAACCAGCTCAGGCCACTGGGGTATTAGCATTCTAGTAGTTAAATATGGCTTGCTTGTGATTATTTTATTTTCAATTTCTGCAAAAGACAATATTTTACTGAAAAAACAGGCAATGCCCCCCTAGGAGGAATCAGGGAGAAACAATTTTACTAAGAGATCCTCTTAGTTCTCTTTTTTTTTTTTTTTGGTCTTTTTGAGACAGGGTCTCACTGTGCAGTTCAGGCTGGTCTTGAGCTCACTTTGTAGCCCAGGCTGGCCTCGAACTCAAAATGATCCTCCTGCCTCAGCCTCCTGAATGCTGGAATTACAGGCGTGCGCCACCACACCCAGCTGAGGTCCTCTTAATTCTTAATGCTAATAGTGGTATCTATTTTTAAATTTCTTATTGCTTTCAAATATCAAGTCCAGCTTTTCCTATATAAAATAAAAGTTCCAGAGTTTTCTCCATGTAAATCAAATGTGTCAGTTCCAAGATTATAGATCCACTATCAGCATTTCCATGCATACTCATAACTGACTGACTCAGCCGGTTGATTTGGCAGTATATACAAATACTAGCTATCTTGAACCATTTATAGCATTTCTTATTTACAGGTTGACATCTGATTGCATTATCAGAGACCACGAGTAGGGCTCAGAAGTGGTTCCTTTAGGTGATAGGTGGCTTCTAAGTGTTTGATAATTGCTTCTTGAGAACAAAACAAAATATAACAATACCTATTCCTGATTTAAGCATTTCTGTGATGGAACTACTTCCATACCAACATGACTCCATTGAATGCAGAACTGAGAAGAGATGTGTAAATCAGTTCTTGTGAGTGAAGGGCAGCTGGTCTTCACCACTAGAACATTTAGTCTGTGTAGGGAAGATAAAAATGCTCTACTATCTTAAAGTTTCTGGCTAGGACTGATATAAAATAGATGAACAGAAGAAAGCATACCTGCTTTATTAACATGTCCAAGGAGCTCTCAGAAAAATGAGAACTCAAAGAAATAAGTGACTAGGCCTGAGTGTTTATATTCAAGTTTGAATAAGGAGTAGCAATTTTGGAAGAGTAACTAAGAGGATATGAGGTAGTTTAATAAGATTTATGTGTGCAGATTTCTACTGGTCTTGACTCCCTGTCTTTGGTGATAAGAATGTTTTTCTTCCACTTGGCACTGGGAAGATACCTTTCAGATAGGAGTTTTATCTCTTGTATTTTGGGGGAGAGAGGGGTTGGAGTGTCTTTTTTGGGATCTGCTATTTTTCAGGTGCTTTAACTCACAATGGTCAATATGTGGAAATGGCATATTTTGGGATGTTGTATTTTGATCCTGTACGGTGAAATGGTACTTTTTGTCTCTCTTGCTTGAAAACAATGCCTGTCTTCTTAGTGCCTTCCAAGTGTGGCCATATGATCCTCAAGTTGGCTTCTTAAAATAAACAATATTTAGGAAGGAAAAATGTTTTTCTGCTATGCTTTTATTCCAATGTAGAGATGTTGAGATATTACTTATAAACATTACCTATGTGAAAACTTAGCTGTGAATAATACTTATAAGAAACATGAATGTTAGGCAGTTGTAGTGGCCAATGCCTATAATCCCAGCACTGAGGAGGCTGAGGCAGGAGGATTGTTGTGAGTTCGAGGTCAACCTGGGCTCCAAAGTGAGCTCAAGGCCAGCCTGAACTGCACAGCGAGACTTTGTCTCAAAAAGACAAAAAATAAAAAAAATATGAATGTTGTAGTGGGTATTAAAGCATCTACTCAAGTGGTAGTGAAATCAGAATAATGCAAGAAACTTTAGAATGGTCATTTGAAATAGTTAAACCTAAAAGGTTTTGGCATGCTTTTTGGTTGAATGAGCACAACTATATGGATTCCTACAATTATCATTATAGATGTGCTGTTGTTATAGAAAACATATAAGAATATACATTAAACAAATTTAAAATGTCTTTTAGAAATATATTATGTCTCAGATATACATGCATTCAATAGGCTAATATGTACAATATTATATACTGCATTTCAGAATTCATATTACTGATTTCAACTTACTGATTTCAGAATTCATATTACTCCCCCAGTCTTCTAGGATTAATTGTTTGGTAAGATACCTTTTGGGAAAACTTAAAAGAAATACAATTTAGGGTAATTTTCCCCTATAATTTGTCAAATCATATTACCTATAAGAACCTCACTTGGTCTTTTTTTGTTCCCCAGTATTAAAATCTTCTCATTTCACAAGGCTTAAAAGTTGACCACGGCATTTGAATTTCTTCACAAATTGGCCTTAAGTTCTCCCTTTCCAGTCTCATGCCTTTCGTCTCTACCCTGCTCTTTCTTACTACTATGTTCCTCCTCACACCTGGAGCCACATTGGAGGACTGATGCATCTCCATTCGTTTTTGTAGGCCTGACTCGAATGATGCCTCTTGGGTAATGTTTTCTCTATCCCTCTTGGGTGAAATTCGTTATCCCTTTGTTCCCATAGTACTCTCTCCATATTCTATTGCATGTTCCACTGATTGGTCCTTAAGGCTACCAAAAAGCCAAGGGAAGATATTCTTAATGGAACCAATAACTAACATGTTATTTTTGAAAGATGAAAAATACTGATCTGTAAAATATTTGGAAACTCTCATGGAAACCAAAGTTCCTATGTGAAAACAAATATTTAGTGCTGTTAAATTTTTTTAGATGTTACCCTTCATGTATATAGGTCCACTGATTTTCTGTTATCTTTAGCAAAGTTCAGATTGATGAAGGAAAGCACAGAGACCTTTAACAATATGAATTTATAAATATTGGTATTGAGCATATTAATATTTTATTTTTATGCACTTAAAAATCTCTTAAAGAGTGTTCTCTTAAGAATGTTAAATAAACACTGAATATAATAATGAAAAAATAAAACCTAGATTCCTTTTCATTTTAGTTTGTTCATATTAAACAAATATTTAAGTAAATGTATTTATTTTGAATCCAGGCATTGACAAGGGTAAAACAGGAAACACGAGAAAAAGAAAGTTTGGTTAAAGAGAAGATGAAGTTTTTGGAAAATGAGATTGGGAATAACACAGAGTATGAGAAAAGAATTTCTACTGCTGATCGTAAAGTTTTAAAATGTAGAACAGAATATCAAAATCATGAAACCAGTAGAAGTCAGCTGAAGGATGAGGTATGTCCACTAAAAATAGTGGTTTGTGTGTTCATGGCAAATTACTATGAAAATAACATCAAGCCTTTCCTTAAGGGACTACCTTCTGGTTCTGTTCTTTAAAATTTCACCATTTACTTTAAGAATCGCTATATTCAGAGCATCACTTTATGGATGTCAATGTACTACTGGCAATCTTACAAAATATTTTATTAGTACATATAAGTAACAGTGATTAAAATTAGTAATACAGTAATACAAATTAGTAATTTGTTTTGGTGTACTGCTCAGTGAATATAATATTTTTTCGTTATTTTTATTTTTATTATTCCCTCCCCCTGCATGATCTCCTTTTTTATCTCTAGAAGTCTAGTGTTTTCTTTCTTTTTCTTGTACTCACTTTCTCTTTTACATTGATTATATCAGAGAAAACGTGATATTCAATTGAGTCTAGTTTATTTTGCTTACCATGATGGTCTCCAGTTCTACCCTTTTTCCAGCAAATTACATGAGTTCATTATTTTTTATGGCTGAATAATGTTCCATTGTGTATAGATACCATATTTTCTCTATCCATTTATCTGTTGTCGGGCATCTAGGCTGTTTCTACAGCTTAGCTATTATGAAAAGCACAGTAATAAACATGGATATGCATATGTCACTACAGTGTGCTGTGTTTAATTCTTTTGGATGTATACTAAGGAGTGGCATTCAGGATCCAGTTGGATCAAATGCTGGTTTTAGTCTCAGTTTCTCGGGGACATTTTATTCTGCTCCCCAGGTGGTTGTAGTCTCCATTCCCAGCAACAGTATGGACTGGTCCCTTACTCCTCTTCAGCGTCTGTTTATGAATGCTTAGGTTGTTTCCCTATCTTGGCTCTTGTGAATGATGCTGCAGAGAACATGGGAGTCTAGAGTTCTCTTCAACATCCTGATTTTATTTCCTTTGGATGTATACTCAAAAGTAGGAATCCTAGATTATATGGTAATTCTATTTTCCGTTTCTTTGAGGAACTTCTATACTGGTTTTCATAATGGCTGTAACATATTATATTTCAACCAAAAGTGTGAAAGCATTCCCTTTTTCCACATATTTGCTAACTTTTATTTTTTACTTTTTCATCATATCCATTTTAGCAGTTACACGGTGATACTGCACAATAGTTTGACTTGTATTTTCCTGATGGTTAGTGATGTTGAACATCTTTTCATATACCTGTTGGCCATTTGATTTTGGCCATCTTTTTTTTTTTTTGGAAAAATGTTCAGGCTCATTTTTAAATTGTATCATCGTTATTGCTATTATTACTATTGAGTTGTGGGAGTTGCTTGTGTACTTTGGAGATTAATCCCTTATCAGACAGATAATTTGCAAATATTTTATCAGACTCTGCATGTTGCTTTTCATTTTGATTGTTCCTTTTGCTGAACAGGAACTTTTTAGTTGAATGGTCCCATTTGTTTATTGTTATTTTTGTGGTCTGTGCTTTTGATGGCATATCCAAAAATTTATTGTGGATACCAGTGTCAAGAACCTTTTCCTATACGTTTTCTTCTAGGAGTTTTATGGTATCAGATTTTACATTTAAAATCTTTGGTCCATTTTGAATTGTTTTATATATGGAGAAAAAGAATGGCTATATATTAGTATTCTGCATGTGGGTATTCATTATTCTTGAAACTATTTAGTGAATGTGTCTGTTCTTATGCTAGCTGCATATTGTTTTGGTTTTTATAGCTTTGTAATGTATTTTGAAGTCAGGAAGTATAATTACTCCAGCTTTGTTTTTCTTGCTGCAGATTTCTTTAGCTCTTTGAAGTCTTTTGTGGTTACATATAAATTTCAGCATTTTTTTTTTCTGCTTCTGTGAGGAATAACATTGGAATTTTGGTAGGAATTGTATTGAATCTATAGAGAGATTTAGGTGGCATGAAGATTTTGACAATATAAGTTCTTCTAATCTATGAAGATCTTTCCATTTATTTGTGTATCATATAATTTCTTCAATATTTTATAGTTTGCAGTGTATAGATTTTTTTATTTCCTTGGTTTAATTTATACCTAAGCATGTTATTCTTTTTTATGCTATTACAAATGGAGTTTTAAACTTTCCTGTGCAGAAAATTCGCTGGTAGTATATAAGAGAATGAACTGATTTTTGTATGTTGATTTTGCATCCTACAACTTTATCAGATTTATTAGTTTAATTTCTTTGGGTGTAATCTTTACATTTTTGCCAATGTTCTTACAAAGGCAAAAATTTATGCCTTAAATTTTAAAAAATAATTTTAATTAACTGTAAAATGTGTGTCATTAGGAGGATGTACGTAGTTAAAAGGATGATGAGTTAGACTCTCTTGAGATTTTTCCAAATCCAACTAACCTTCTTACAACTGTCATGAGCATTTCATATGTATACATCAGTTTGTTTTGAATCTTGTGTTCTTCTTGAGCAAGTCTCAGGATATTGGGCATGTCTACATTTACTTTAACATATGTAGCTATTTCTAGTTTTTTCATATTATAAAAGCCACTTAAAATTTGATATGAGAATAAGTAGTAAGATCTATAAATATATATTAATACAAAAAGTTACTGTTTCTATGGGTGTGGTATAGCTTAAAACTTAAAGTGGGCAGAATAGAAATTCTCTGTAATGAAACTATAAAGTGTAGAGTAAATATGTAATTTTTGTCTGTTAACTAATGAACAGCTGGATTCTTTAAAAGCCACTGTGAATAGAACTTCCAGTGACTTAGAAGCTTTGAGGAAAAATATTTCCAAAATAAAGAAGGACAGTCATGAAGAAAGACAAAGGTAAGAAAAAATCTATTTAAGTGATTAAATTTTTTATTACCTCTAGAAAATTATTATAATACTTAGGATTATATTTTGTTAAATAATTGCAGCATTATAGCTACAGCATTAGGAGGCTTAAAGATTTCCTGGATTTTTTATTTTTTTATTTTTTGGTTTTCCTCTGGTACCGGGAACCGAACTCACGACCTTGCGCTTGCCAGGCAGGCGCTTTTGCCACTGAGCTAAATCCCCAGCCCCCTTCCTGGATTTTTTTTATCACAAAACTCAAGAGAAATATTTTTATAGTTTTGTACATATATAGTGATAATAAAAAAAGCTTATAGCAAAAAAAAAAAACCCTAATATAGATATCTTATGATAAGCTCTTACTTGCATTAAATACTTCTAGGCATGCTTTCTATCTTTTCCTCTATCTTTTCCCTGTCTAGGTTACAAAAATTGAAAAATCATAATCAGATCATTAGAAAAAAATTGAATCAGATAACTGAGAAAACCATGTCTGTGGAAGAGAAAGCCACCAATCTGGAAGATATGCTAAAGGAAGAGGAAAAGAGTGCAAAGGTAGAGTTTACATTTAATTTTTCAAACTTATAGCAAACTTACCAGTAGTGAATTAGACTCTTGAAAACCTAGTTAATTAGACCCTTCCTAATCGGAGGACTAGAAAGTGTTTTAAGAGGTTCCTTGTATTTTTAGCATTTAACTTCGGTGTCTCCTTTTAAGGGCAGCCTTTCCACTGGGCCCTGGATTATTTTCTTTTCCAGTGGCCATGGTGTCTGTATCCCTGCTGGCCATACATCTATTGCTGCACTGCGTAATATCTTGAAAACTGACCTTGTTGTACAACTGATTTTCATGTGATTGTCATTTTATTTTATTTTAGTTTGTGATTAAACTCTCCTTGTTGAGGAAGGCCAAGGTAGGAGAATGACAAGTTCCAGCCCAGCCTGTGGAACTCAGTGACTCAGTGACTTAGTGAGACTGTCTCACAGTAAAGAATAAAAGAGAGGCTTTGGGTATGTCCCTCAGCATGAAGGTCCTGGGTTCATTCCCCAGTACTACCCATATTGATTATCTGTGTTTTACCTATTGTACTTTAACCCCTTAAAATCTGGCATTACGTTTTGGCAAATGGACTCTGAAGTGTATCACTTTACTAACTAGGCTTGCACCCTGTTCTACCCCAATCTCTGGTATAGTGGCACTATTAAAGCAAATTTTGAGAAACTAGAAAAGGCTGATTTACCATTTCCTCTTTGGAAACTTCAAAGTGACTTCTAAGTGTGACATATCACGGTAGGCCGTACTGTCTGCTTTTACTCTATTTTGGGGAACAGAGGAGGAAGAAGAAGGAATAACATAAGAAGTGAGTAAAATCCATGAACATTTTATGAGGCTTATATAAACTATGGCTCTATCTTTATTTGGACAGAATTCCATTTCTCAGGATGCTGTAAAATTCCTAAGTAATGAAGTCATGCAGCATTTTTGGCTTATGTGATTTCTGAGTCCAAATCTTACATTATTTTAAAAGTTGTGTTTTTTTCCTCTAAGAGCTTGATTGTTTATGGTACCTGACATGGGGCAGTATTAGAACTTACCAGAAACCCATGAAGACTGTGAAATTCATATGAATTAGACTTTTTGATAGCAAAGAATAAAAATTCTTATATTTTTGAAGAAATTAGCTGAACTAGAAAAAAACGTTGAGATGGTGCACTGCTGGTACTGTATGTAGCAGGGTTGTGTTTATCATCTTGGTTTTGTTGCTGTTGATTCTGTTCATTTGGAAAAGGCCAACCCCATTTTTTCTGGATCGACTCTTACTTATGACCAAACACTGCTGTAAAGCTGCTAGGGTATCTCTTAGAAGCCCTTAACTCAATGTCAGATATCTGTTATATGAAAGATAATGCACCGAATACCAGGTATTTCTTACTTTGTAAAGAGTTAAATGTCAGTCACAAACTTCTGTTGTTTGACGTTGAGCTTCACTGGTTGGGAAGGAAAAAATATGCTTATTTGGGTATAAGAATTTAGAAGTAAGTTATTTTAACATCTAAAAATATTAACTGTCAATTGATTGGGGCAACTAGAAATGTAGAATATATTGGTCGTGCAGCCCCGAGGTCAAGATAGATCTGCCTCCGGGTGGTGGTGGGGAGCAGCGGGAATTGGGGTTTGACCTTTTCCGGAAGGCAGCACATGGTGCTGAGATCAGCCAGAGGAAAATGTGAGTGATGCGTAGTGCCAGTGGTGTACTGGGCCTACCCCTACAGCTCACAAGGACTCGGAGTTAAATTTTCAGGACTTTGGAGTTGGCTGCTAACCACAGTTACTATTAAAATCATGATACAGGCTTACAATTTAATAAGTTATATCCAAAACAAAATAATAAAAATTAAACATTCATCATTTCTAGGTTATTTTGTGTAGTTGACTACTATCGATGCATTTAATGTTAAAATAGTTTAACATCTCTTGTATCTGTGCATTGGAAATACTCCATAATGGTCTGTTCTTGTGTGTCTTTTCCCAGTTCTGCATTTAGCAGAATCATGTTAGTAGCCTGAAGCTGGCCTAGTGGGATTGTTTATACCATTCAATTCATATTTTCTCCTTACCTTCCCATCCATTGGAAAACTGATGGTTTAAACGTGATCGTCACTTGATAGTGCTTCAAGGAAGATGGAGTTGGGTGATGTAATTTCTTCACTGTTATACCCTCAAGACTCCAGTCAGCTTTGTGAACTTACAAATGGTTTGTCTCTAGTGGTTTCCCCTCTTCCTCTCCTCTGAGGAACCAGTGGAGTGGCCTAGTTCTGAGGTTAGGGAAATGTGGGATGGAATTAAGATGACAGGTCTAGGTGCTTGATACAGGAATGGAAAATTACTAATGTAGTCTACTAGAATAGACTATAAGATACATTGGGAGTTCCCTGAAATTGTGGAAAAGGATTTATATTATCAAGGGCTAAAATGTTGATGAGAAGGGCTCATTTGTTTATGAGCGCCTAAATTACAGTGTTCATATAAATGAAACATTTTAAGATATTGTAATTTCCTTAAGCACTATAATTCTCATTATCAGGAAGTGGAAGTTCAGTTGAACATAGTGAAAGAGGTGTTTTTCAAGAAAGTTCAGGAGTTACAGACTGAGAAAATGAAAGAAAAAGCTCTTGTATCAGAAATTGAAGGAACCCGTTCCACTCTGAAGCATCTCAACAATCAGTTACATAAACTGGATTTTGAAACCTTAAAACAGCAAGAAATTATGTACAGTCAGGTAGGTGTTACTTGTGCAGATATCTTCCATACTGATTTGTTATAGCTGTGATGCTCAAGAGATCCAGTATCCTAAGACAACAAAGATCTAAGTAGTCTTTTGGAAATAGAGACAGATGCTATGTGGGGTAATGTTTTAAGTCAGTAGAAAGGCAGGGGAGCCTGAAAAGCTGCTTGTTTCCTCCATCATAAATAAACAGGCAAGAGGAAAGACAGCTTTACAAAAGGACAGTCATGTTTTAAACAAACCTGGGATGTGGACCCAGAGTAAAACAAAAGAAGTTATGGGACATCTGAAACCTAGAAATACTGTGTGTTGATTCTTAATCGTGCAAACCTAGGTACCATACCCCATCTCTACCTACTTCCCACATAATATTATAATTATATTATATATAATTATATACAATTCCCTTATCTAATATATTCTTATCTTCTCAAAATGCAAATGTTAAACTGTAATTTTAAAAATAATTTATTATGAGCCTTTCATGGGCTATTTATGACTGTCTTTTTTGCACCTTTTAGAAAATGTACCCTCAAAAATCCACATCCATGTCAATCTAGCAGATTCACTAAGGTTCTATTACTGAAGGTCAGTAATTCACAATAAAATTCTTACTCTAAGGGAGCAACAACAAATTATTCTTCAACATTCAGTGTGCATGATAGTGAGACAGAAATAATCTGAAAGTATAACCAGTCAGTGGAGGTTTATCATACCAGAACCTTAGTAAATCTGCTAGATTTACATGGATGTGGATTTTTGAGGGTACATTTTCCAAGAGGTGCAAAAAGGAAAATATTCACTATTTTTACACTTATAGATATGCTTTAAAATTGTTTGTATCTCCTGCCTGACTCCTGTTTAAAAACTGCCACAGGACTTTTACGTTCAACAAGTGGAACGAAGAATGTCACGATTAAAAGGAGAAATTAATTCAGAGGAAAAACAAGCCCTGGAAGCAAAAATTGTTGAACTTAAGAAGTCACTGGAAGAGAAAAAGTCTACATTTGACCTTTTGGAAACACAGATCAAGAAACTTCATGTAAACTGGCCAAAATGCTTTTTTCTCTTTATGTTTTCAGTATTGAGTTATTACCCATTCTCTTTTAGGTCGACATAGTCTGATGACTGCTTTGCTCAGGGTAGTCTGTACTGACTACTGGATGTGATGCTACCACTGCCTGAGCATTTACTCTATGATAAATACTGCATTACATGCCTCTACTGTTTTATTTCATTTAATTTTTATAAATATCTTGTGAAGAAGATACTATTTACTACCTGTTTTATAGATTAAGCAATTTGTCCAGTTACACAGCCAGCATATGGAGAGGAGAGGTAGGCTTTGATCCCTGGTCCATTTGACTTCAAAATACTCTTTAAGATGACACCATTGAGAACGGTGTGTACCACACTAAATATCTTGACTGTCCCTTCTTTCACGAGATATTCATTGTTGTTATTCCACTAATGGCTTAGAATATTTCCAATGATTTTCAGTTAGAAAGGTGATGATTCTGTTTGCCTTTAGGAATCATATTATGTTTATTGTAATAGAAAAACCTATGTTAAAGTTTAACTAGGAGTATAACTTAAGGAGTGAGGGCAGGAACCAGGACAGGTGAAAGCCTGGGAGGGCTTCAACGTTGGTTATGGCTGGAAAGTCTAGGGATGAGTGTCCTCTAGTGGTTACACGTAGAATTTCCCTCAATCTTCCAAGGCTGCAAAAGATGAAAGGGACCTGTCACTTTTTAAAGTTTTGAGATGCCAAAATTTTTGGGTTGGAGTAGTTTATAATGTGAGGAAAATTTTTTTATCTGTTTCTTTGGTTTACTAGAAAAGAACACAAGCTTTGGGATCAGATAAAACTTTTTTTGAAATTCAAGATTGTACCACTACTGCTATGTATTCAAACTTCAACTCATGTGTTACATGGAAGATTTAATACGTTAGCGCAGTGCTTTTGGGACCCTATTAGTGGTACTGTTTTGGCTTAGAATCTGAGAAGAATTGATACTATAGAAGAAGAGGAGGGGCATGTTTTTTTAAATCTGAACATTTACTCTGGTCTGGGTCATGTCTGTTTGGTTATAGGGAAGTTTATAGTTCTGTCCTCTTTAAACCATGCTGGTTACCTTCTATGTCATCCAGTTAGCCAGTACTTACACCCACCTCAGCTGTGGTTTTAACGGACAGATAAATTAATAGAAATTCAAGTGAATTTTAAAAATATTAAACTTAGTGAACCTACTGAAGGTTTACTCTCAACAATAGCACGAGACTGTAGTCACTTTTATACACTTCCAATACCTTCCATATTTTACTTACCTAATCAAGACTTCCTTCTGCAAGTTGAAAATAATAGAACATTTTAACTCTTTTGTTCCAAATGTAATTTCATGAAATCACATCTTTATTCCAAATTTATTTCTCTTCTTACAACCTGGCTGCAACCTTAAGTCTTCTTTTTTGGTCTTTTTGAGACAGGGTCTCAGTATGCAGTTCAGGCTGGCCTTGAGCTCACTTTGTAGCCCAGGCTGGCCTTGAACTTGCAATGATCCTCCTGCCTCAGCCTCCTGAGCGGGATTACAGGCGTGTGCCACTACACGTGGCTGCAATCTTGTCTTGATACTTCAGAAAAATGCAACAATGAGAAGGGCAGAGAAGTACATGTGGGGAGCGTGCCCGTGTGTGCGTGGGTCTTGGAACTGGAAAGTAGTCTTCATTTAGGAAGCAAAGGGGGAGTAAGAGCACAAGGGTTTTTTTGGGTTCTGAGTGGGAAGAGGGAAGCAAATTTACATAAAACTAGAAAACTGGTATCTGGTATGTCTGACTTATTTGTACACCTGATGGAACTTGTTTTACTAAGTATTTTCCCTCTAGAACTATGTAATTCTACAATAGCAGCTGACATTTACAGGGCACTTCAGGGTACAAGCGTTGCTGTACAAACTCTTCAACAGTAATTTCTTAAGTTCTCACGACAGCTCAAGGAGGTAAGGACTGTTCTCCCCACCACTTTAGCGATGAAGAAACTGAGGAACAGTAGATTGCCAGAAACATCACAGGGCCGACATATAATTAAGGCCATGTGGATCCAGGGTTTGTACTGTCAACCAGGGCTTTATCTGTGCTTCCTGAAATATTTTCACCATCTAGCACTTGAATGGAATCACATAGTGAACTCCAAAGAGGGAGTGGTGAGCCCTATAAAGAAATAAAATGTGTGCTCCCATCTCATAAATGGCGAGCGTTTTGCAATTTAGGTTGAAGTGAAACCACATATAATGGTTCCTGGAATTACTGAACTCCAACTAAACCCAATACATCAACAGATGATTAAATAAAAAGTTTCTCTATGAATATCCATGTATATTAGATACTTGGCATGATGAAATATTAAAATATTTGATTATTATACATATTAAAGTGCACATAATTAAGACAAGGTATGTTTATTATAGCATGTACTTAAATTAGTTGTTATTTAAAATGTTTTATGTACCTTTTTTCCTTTTTACAGAATGATCTTTACTTTATCAAGAAGTCAAATAGTAAAAGTTGTGATGAAAAACAGTCCCTTCTGACTAAAGTGAATGAATTAAACCTTTTTATCGACAGCTCAGAGAAAGAACTTAATAAAGCCAAAGCTTTTAAACAGGTACCATAAAATTATATGCATATATGTTTTTAAAAGCCATGTGTTTTCATGTTCATTGTAGAAATTTTTTAAAACAGTAAATAATGAGGAAGAAAAGTCATTTTGATCACTGTACCCAAGATAATGTGTTAAAGTCTATTATTTCCTTCTTTTAAAAATTTGGCTTTATATGTTTTATTAAAAAAACTTTTTTTTGGTACCAGGAATCAAATTCAGGACCTTGTGCTTGCCAGGCAGGCACTTGTGCTGCTGATCTATATCCCCAGCCCTATTTAAAAAATTTTAATATATGTGTTTCCTAAAACGTTAGCTACTCTTTAAAAAATAACCCTTAGAGACTTTCTACAAGTACACTGCACAAAGTTATTGCAGTTTAAGCATTTTCTATCCTTTTGATATGTATCTGTTTCCAATGTTTTGGCACATATATCATTGGAGAGTTTTTCAGAAAATTCCTAGCTGTATAATTATGGCTCAAAAAGTGAGTATTTTTGGTGTCTTGAAACCATTTTTTTATTTTAAAAATAAAAGTATGTTAACTACCCTGTATATACATACATACAAAATTTCTCCTTCTTTCCCTTCTCTTTTCCTACATCCCAGTTGCCCTTTACCCTTGAGCATTTTCCTGTCATTTCACAATGTCTATCATACCTCCGAGTTTAAATTAACTCTTTCAGATTTTACACTAGTGAGACAATGAAACCTTGAAACCATTTTTAAGCCAAATTGCCCTCTAGAGGTTTGATTAATACACCCCAGCAGTAATGTATTTACTACCACTGAGTCTGGATATTTTAATTTATGAAAGTGTTGTCAATTTAGTAGACAAATAATGGTATCTCATTTTTTAATGTTACATTTGAAACATTTTGTTTAATGATAAAATTTAAAACATTCATGTTTAAATAAAATGTTTATAACATTTTTCCATGATATTATGTTCCATACTTTTTCTTTTTCGATATCTAGTTTATATTCTTGGCCCATTTTTTCCATTGGGAGGTTTGTATTTTCAATTGTTCTGTGAAATATTTTCACATTTAAAAAATATTACCTTATAATAGTGTTAACATTTTCCCTATTTGACTTTACATTTTTTGACATAAACTCTTTAACATGAAATCTTTAGGATTTTTTTCACTTTCTAATTTTTATGCTTAGAAGTGTCTAAAAATCAGTTTCCTATTTGTAGTAGTGCAATGATTTAACCTCTTATATTGTTTTTTCACTCACCTGGAATTTATTTATGTTCATTTCAGATATAGGAATTTAATCTGTTCTCTATCTGAAAAGTATATTTATGAGTATACTTTAAAAAATGATTTTAAATGTAAAATCATGTTCTGGAGTATTCGTTTCTGTACTTTCTTTTCTGGAAATTGATCAGTTTGCTTGCTCTTATGTCAGTCCTCATGACTGAACTGCTGTAAAACAAAAATATACTTTCATGTTATTTTGTTCATAGGATTTGATGATAGAGGACAACCTTTTAAAACTTGAGGTTAAACGCACTCGAGAAATGCTTCACAGTAAAGCAGAAGAAGTTCTTTCCTTGGAAAAGAGAAAACAGCAGTTACTTACGGCTATGGAAGAACGAACGGAAGAAATTAAGGTTCACAAAACGATGCTTGCCTCACAGATAAGATTTGTTGATCAAGAACGGCAAAACATAAGGTGATTATCAGAGTTTTAAAAACACTGTTAAAGAATATAGAGAAAAATGTTAAGGGTGATGTCAAGAGAACTACTTACTTTCTTTACCACCTTGCGTGCTCATCTCTTTCTGACTCATTTGAAAAGTCTTTTAATATGAGACATAGGGCATACTATAACCATCAGTCTATGCTCTTTCTTTCCTTTTGCCTTTGGCTGGTTCTGCATTCTTCCCTTTGGCCCTTTTACACTAAGATGGCTCTCTAGACCACTTGGAATTGATTTTTGTATATGGTTTATTATGGTACGGGTCTAGTAATGTTTTAGTTTTTATATATACCTATAGCTGCACTCATAGAAGGGATTTTCTTGTAGATGTTTCGTATATCTTTTATAAGATTATTCTAGGCAATTTTTTTTATGTTACTTTTGATATTATTTTCTTTTAAAACATTTTGTTTTTGGTTTGTTGCTGGTATACAGAAATATTGTATAACTAATTTCTGTAAGTTACATATTGAATAATCTTGTTTAATCTTTAGCAATTCATGTATAGATTTTAATTTTCTAGATATTTCATCATATCATTTTAGAAGGATAATATTTTTTCTTTCCAGTTTTTATAACTTCTTTTTCTTCCTTTACTATACTTCTTGCTAGGACTTCCAGTCCAACATTGAATAATGGTGGTTATAGATACTCGTGTGCCTACCCTCAAAGAGAAAGCTTTCATTGTTCTGTTGTCAAGTCTAAACATTCCTGAGGTGTGGTTGATTCTGTGCAGAGGATTTAACTCAAGGGCTCAAGCATATGCTGCACCACTGAGCTACACCTCCAGGCCTGTTTGTGTTAAGATATCATTTACCATATTAAGAGAGCACCCATATATATATATATTTTTTTTCTTTTTTTGGTCTTTTTGAGACAGGGTCTCACTATGTAGTTGAGGCTGGCCTTGAGCTCACTTTGTAGCCCAGGCTGGTCTCGAACTTGCAATGATCCTCCTGCCTCAGCCTCCCGAGTGCTGGGATTACAGGTGTGCGCCACCACACCGGGCCATATATTCTTATTCCTTGCTAAGAGGTTGTTTTAATTTATTTAGGGGAATGTATGTTGACTTTCATTATGTATATTTTCTGTATTCACTGACATGATATAACGCCTTCAATCTGTTAATGTAATTAATTATATTGATTAGCGCCAAGTGTGGTGGCACACACCCGTAACCTTAGCATTTGGGAGCCTGAGGCAGGAGGATCGCTGCAAATTCAAGGCCAATCTGAGCTACATAGTGAGTTTAAGGCCAGCCTGAACTACACAGAGCGAGACTGTCTCAAAAAACAAAACAAACAACAAAAAATTACATTGACCAGTTTTTCAAAGTTAAGCCAAGCTTATGTTTCTTGTATGCCACATACCATCCTTTATATAATACGAGTTTTCTCTGATAATATTTTTATGTAATCTTTGTATCTGTGTTTCTGTATGTAAATGACACACAAGTGTCTCTGTTCTAGTGCCCTTATTAGGTTATCAGGTTACTAAGGTTATGTATACTGTCACAAAGTGATTTGTGTGTTTCTCATAGTTCTATAAACTGGATAAACTTACAAAAGAGTAGAAGTATATCTTTTTTGAACTTTCAAATACGTCATTAGTAAAGCCACTGGGGATCGGAGTTTTTCCTCTGGGAGATGATTTTCAGTCTTTGGTTTATTTTATTTATTGGTTGTAGAACAATCCAGATTTTGCGTTTCTATTTGATTCAATTTTGGCAAATTGGGGAAAATGTTCACTTTCATCCAACTGAAATTATTGCTATCAAGTTGTCTGTAACATCATTTTATTATTGAATAGTTATAATATTTATAGATATGACTGCTTTTCATTTTTTTTTTTTTTTTTTCTGCTTTACATTCTTGATATTATTTGTTCCTTTTCTTTTTTGAGTGGGATAAATCTTACCAGAAGGTAATCAGGTTTATCAGTTTTTTAAGATCTTATTGATCTTTTTGGTCAATCTTGTTATTTTTATTATTTATTATTTCATTAATTTCTGACCTCATGTTTATGATTTTTGTCCTTCTATGGGACATAAATGTTCTTTTTCTATCTCCTTGAGAAAAATATATAGTTTATTAACCTTAAGCACTGAAGGATAAAAAATTCCCTCTAAGTTTTATTTTAGCAGCATCCTACAAATTTTGAAATTGCCACGTGTTCCTTTTTTGCCTTACTGTTGTTTTAGTTGAAATTTTATTTTAAATACTAACTTTATTGAGGGGTAACTGACATGCAATAAATGCCACATATTGAAAGTGGATAATTCAATATATACCTGAGAAACTATCACCCCCAGCAAAGTGGCTAGCACACCCTGACCCCGTAAGTTTCCTTGTAGTCCATTGTAATTCCTCCCTGCAGTTCCTTCCCATGTATCCTTCCTAAGCAAAGACTGGTCTCCTTTTTATCCACAGAATTTTATCTATCTACCTACCTATCTCTATCTATCTCTCTATCTATCTATCTATCTATCTATCTATCTATCTATCTATCTATCTATACTAAGGGTCTCACTATGTAGTTCCAGCTGGTCTTGAACTCACTATGTGGCCTAGCTGGCTTCAAACTTGTGGCAATCCTATCTAAGCCTCGCGGGTTCTGGGATTACAGATGTGTGCCACCATGCCCAAGTTATCTATAGAATTTAGACTGCATTGTCAAGAGTTTTATATGTATGGAATCCCTTAGTAAATATCTTTTGGCTTCTTTTATTCAGCATAATTATTTTAAGACTTCTCCACACTGCTTTTCATCAGAGGTTGCCCCACTGTTCTGTAAGGCTAGATAATAAATAGTACAGTACTTTGCGGGCTTTTTGGTCTTTGTCTCCATAAGTCACCTCTGCCACTGTAGAGTAAAAGCAGCCATAGAAAATACGCAAATGAGCATGGCTGTGTGCCAATAAAACTTTATGGACCCTGAAATTTTATTCTAATATAATTTTCATGTTTCATGAAATATAATTCTTTTTTTCCAACCATTAAAAAAAATAAAGGCTACTCTTCGGATGTGAGCTGTACAAAAAGAGGTGGTAGGCAATGCATACCATAATACTGAAGCTTGTGTGTCTGAGTTATTTCACTTAGCATTATAGTCTCAAGGTGCATCTGTTTTCCTACAAATGACTCAAGTTTGTCCTTTATGGGAGAGTACTGCACCACTATGTACGCACCCCACATTTTTTTTTTTTTTTGTCTTTTTTAAACAAGGTCTTGCTATGCAGTTCAGGCTGGCCTTGAGCTCACTTTGTAGCCCAGGATGGCCTTGAACTCATAACGATCCTCGTGCCTCAGCCTCCTGAGTGCTGGGATTACAGGTGTGCACCACCACGCCCAACTTCATAATAGTTAAGCCTTGGAAGCCCCCTAAATGTCCATCAATGGAGGAACAGATAAAGAAAATGTGGGGTGCGTACACAGTGGTGCAGTACTCTCCCATAAAGGACAAACTTGAGTCATTTGTAGGAAAACAGATGCACCTTGAGACTATAATGCTAAGTGAAATAACTCAGACACACAAGCTTCAGTATTATATGGTTTCTCTTATAAGAGAAACCCAAAATATAAATAAAGAGCAAAATAAAAGATAATAATAGGAAACAGGGAGAAAGATCTTTTGCAAATGGAAGTGGCAGGGGGCAAGAGACAGAGGGAGGGGAGAGGCAGGGCAGGGAAGGGAATGAAAATGCTGTTAACATGTGTTATGTGCACCAGTTCCCCGTGAGGAATGCATTCATTACGTAATGCAAACATGGACTGATAAAAAAGAAAAATTGGGAAACAAAAGCAGGTAACAGGCAGGATGGTTTGCCCATCCTGGCTTTTTGTTGCTGAATGTTAGTATTCCATTATTTGTTTTACTCCAATTTGTTTATTCCTATATCTGCCGATAAATGAACACTTGCACCATCTCTAGTTTTTAGCTATTCTAAACAAAGCTGCTATGAACATACGTGTTCTTGGCATGACACATGCTTTCTCTTTTCCTGGAAAATACCTAGTAGAGGACTTGCTGGATAAAGGGTAGGTCTATATGGTATTTGACTTTTCAAGGAATATTAAGAAATTGCCATGAATTGCTGACTTTCATTGGGTTAGTGAATTTCATTTCCCCTTTTTTCCTCTTCAATTGTATGGAAGATACACAGTTTAATTATTTTGTTGGTTATTTTTAAAGTCAAAAGGACAAAATTATTTTCCTATACCTAAGATTTTGCACTTTTTACTTCTACTTTTTCTCATCCTTCATATACTTTTCAAAGCACTGTATGATAGACATTATGAAAAGGAAAATGCTCAGACGTAAAGGGTAGCTGGGGTGTGGGAAAAGAGAAGGGAAACAAGGGAAAATTATGTAACTATGTATATACAGGATAGCTAACATAGTTCTACTACTGTCTTCTATTGCTTTACTGAAAGGAACAATTAATGATTACTTGTTTGATCAATCCTGTATGTCTCTATTTGTTTTCCTGAGAAACCACTTTGAAGATATCAATACATAATACAACAACCATTGTTAATTTCCTACCACTTTGTTTGTAACTCTGTATTGTTCTTATGCTATTTTGTAAATGGATGTCTGTTGGTTAATGTTTTCCTTCTTTTATTTATTTTTTGAAAGCACTGCTTATATTGGCATTTACACTGCATTGTTTTAATGAAAAAGTCAATTTACTGTAGAGAACCTGTTTTTTGTTTTCATTATGGAAGCTTTGTCACAGTCTTTATCGTTGATGTTTTATAATTTATCTGTATGCATTTTGGGTGTTTTGTCATTTAAAATTTTTTTCCCCTTAACTCTTTGTGAAGACTCAGTTATTCTATTCAAGGCTTTCTTTGGGTTGGGGAATATTTTTCTAATGCAGTACTTTTTTTCTCACCAGCAGTCTTCTCCCCATTTGTTGCTCACATTAGATGTCAGCCTTTTTAGAGCTGTCCTATAGGTTTTAAAATTTGTTTTACTTTTTATTCTACTTTCTCAAATATTTTAATTTTTTCCTCCTTCCTCTCCCTTCATGAGCTTCCCTCATCTTTCGCCATCTCTCCAGATTACTGAATCTTTATTCTTATTTGCTGTTGAAAAGAACTCATTTCCAAACACTTTTTTTTATACCTATTGGCATTTTAAAAATAGCTGCTGATTTTGTTTTATGAGAATTCTTGGAGCTGATATCCCCTCAGGTTTAAAGGATACTAATTACAAATACTTGGAAAATTCTCTTCTCTGCATTCCTGGTTTCTCCCAAGATCTGTTCTTGGTTCATTTTATTCTTTTCATGCATCTTGTTGGCTTTTCATAAATATATGATGGTCCTTGGTTTTCTGTGAATATTTATTGACAGATACTTTATACATAATCATCAGATATTGGTTTAACTAGCAGCTAAGAGTTTTCTTTGCAATTAAGTCCATCTCTTCAGCAGATCTTGTACATGGAAGTCTTATTTTAAGCTTCGAGTTTGTCCCTTAAAGAGCATAGATAACTAGTAGGCAGGGCTAGGACATTTATGGTTATGAAAAGTTAAGTGCTTGACTGATGAAGACTATTAATGTTAAATGGAATATTTGTTTTATAAAATATAATTTTTATTATTGTGGAAGCCTAGAGTTACTTCATGTTCTTTTTTACTTCTCTCTGTCATTCCAACATATGTATTAGACATTATGATAATTTTCTAGGTATCATTGGAGCAGAAACCATTACTGGGGAAATCACATTTCTAATAGTTGGGCTGCCTAAGCCTGAGGTTCCTCAGCTGACACAAACCTACTGCATTTGTACAGCATGCGATCGAGCCCTTTCTTGTGGCAGAGTAAGGGGGAACCAATGCAAATAGAAGGTTCATGTTACTTGCTATGCCATGCGTTATAAATCCCTTCTTCCGCCCCTGGAGAATCTTGTGTATTTCTGCCAGCCTCCATGAGACTGTGGCCTGCTAACTTGGTGACGTTTCAAGTGAAGTAAAATGTGACACCCTCCACAATGAATTAACTAATTTAAAAAGCAAAACACATTTAATCTGCCTGCACCGAGTAGTAACACAAATCCAGATATTTTCAGTAAGCATACATTAGTCTTTTAATTATTTCTGTCTTTTCACATTAGTGGTGAGTTCCATGAACGACTCAGCAAAATTGATAAGCTGAAAAACAGGTATGAAATTGTCACTGTGGTTATGCTGCCTCCTGAAGGAGAAGAGGAGAAAACGCACGCCTATTATGTGATAAAGGTAATCTCATTGATCTAGAGGAACAGCACCAAGTGGGCTTTCTTTGTTAGTTCATTTACAGTGATCTGGAGTTTAAAGAACCATTTTGAAATTTTCTCTAAAAATTGTAGTTATTCACTTAGAGGCATTAACTACTGCACTTAAGGGCTAAAACATCAGTTGTGAGATGCAAATACCAAAGCACTATCAGTTCTATGTACCTCCAGTCCCTGAGGCCAGAGCACTGCCGTGATTCCCAAATCTATTGCTCAAAACTGCTCCACTCCAGGGTAGGTCATCTACTTGACCCCTCTTCCTTTAACACATTTTTTTTTTAACACTTCAGCATGCATCTGACCACTAGTTTAACATGTTGAAGGCTTTTTCATTGTAGACAGCTGCTTTCATGCCAAACGAAGGACAGTAGCATCCTCTGTAGCTACATCACCCTGAATCTTAAACTCCACTTTCCCACTGCAGTCCTGGTAAGCAGCTGTCCATACAGGAAGAGGGCTGCTCTTTGCCCTCTCATTACACAGGAGACATAGCAGGTGAAACTGCATTCTGATGTTTGAGAGTTGCTTGCCATCCCATGCTTAATTACCTCTTAATAACCAGTAAGAAATCCAGAATGATAAGGAATTGGATGTCTTTCTGAATACTGCATAGTTTCCTACTGAAAATACCTGAGCAGGTCTGATTTCCTTTATAGAAACATCCCGGGAATTATTCAACACACTACAGCGTTTCTGTGTATCACACATGGGTAAGAGATCTCCCAATTTACACCTTCACAAGATGGTCCTTGTGGATACTCTGTACTTCTACATATCCCCTTAAACTCCAAAGTTTTCTTGTGTGGTCCTTTCTCAAGACTGCTTCGAACACATACACTAAGGGTGGCATGCTTGCCACTTTTCTGGAAATTCTGCCTAACCTATGGGAAATCAGTTCTCGCCAAGCTTTCTTAGAGCTTGTTGGTCTGTAGTACTTCAAGCATCTACCTAACACTAAGGGGACATTCCTCCTCCCAAGCTTTAAAGGTTTTCATAAGGCAAGGGGTAGGCCCTAGTTTGTTAGGTGTTGGGGAAAATGTACACCTTGCAATTTCAATTAAGTTTCTCTACCAACAAAGGCAGTGGTGGTTTACCTACAGTACTGATGCTAAAGCACTTGTGTACTCAGCTTGTTTTTACCAAGATGATCCTTAATAAGTTACTACTTGGGGCCTGTTTCTTCACTTGCAATATGAGGGCTGAAAGTTACCTTTGTTGGGAGAAATAAATGAGAAAATGTACTCAAAGCCTTTAGGACTGTGCCTGACACCAAGTAAACTCTCGTGAAATGTTAGCTATTACTGTTACTGCTATGATAGTGAGTTACTCTGCCCAGAAAAGCCACTGCAAAACAAAGCCACACTGAAAAAAATTCCCTTCTAATTGTTTGCTTTCCTGCTGCAATGACAGATTACTAGCTTCAACAGAGACTGACCCATGAAGTCTGAAATATTGATCTGGCCTCACATAGTAAGTTTGTTGACCTCTTACTTAAAGCTGTCGTAACTGCAAGTTAAGCTGCAACTTCTAGTAGTTACAACAGTCTGGATGTCAAGTGTCATTAGCTAGAGTGAAATTCCATCTTCTGCTCAGCAGTCGAGGTCAAGATGAATGTGCTGGCTAGGCGGCTTCTTCAGAGGGTTGGGAAGGAGAATGTTTTGTGCCTCTGCCCTATTTTCTGGTGGCTTACTGGCAGTCTCTGGTGCGTCCTGGCTTGTAGGTACATCACCCTGATGCGTCTTCACCTTCACATGGTGTTCTTCCTGTCACCAGACTTTCCTCTGTACACATCTGTCAAAGTTTCCTATTTCTGCCAGACATTATACTTTACTCCATTAAGGACCACCTTAATGACTTAATCCACAAAGACCCTATTTCCAAGTAAGGTAATAGGGTACTGAAGGTACCTATAGGTACTAATAAATGCGGTACTGAAGGTTAGGACTTCAATGTCTTTTTCTTTACAGACATAGCTCGACTCTGTGTTTTTGGTTTTGCAGTAGTCTACAGCCTATGGGGCATGCATACATGGCTTTAACCAGTTTTTTTATCTTGCAGGATCTAACTCCTTTTTAAAAGCTAGGCTGAAAAATATAATTAACAACCAATGATGAACTGGCAAATTTCAAATCTTATTTCCAAGTTCCTCTTACTTGGTACAGGGATTTAATTTTGACTATAATGTAATGGAACTGTCCAACTGAGGTACTTGAAAGTGCTTTGAAATGTTAAAAGGTTATTTAAAAAATTTCCAAATATCCAATTTTCTAGGCCAGATATCCAGTACATAATCTGACTTTAGAGGCAAAATAACTTTAGAACTTCAAGGTATACTATGGAATTAGGTCAAGAATTACAGGATGAACAAATATTTGAAATGAAGGAACCATGTTCAAAAGGGGAGTGAGTGACTCAATTCATGGGTAGTTAAGCCACAATTAAAATCTGAATGTTCTGGTTGAGTTCTACTCACTCTCCCACTACACTATACACCAACTGAAATGGGTACCACATCTACACTGAAAGGAATTAGGTATCTTATCTGACAACTTTTATGTTTAGTTTTTGCTAAGCTTTCAACACATAAATTGAACATATTTATGGGGCACTGTGTGATGTTCCTATCCATGTGTACAATCTTAACATCAGAGCAAGCATCTTTCCTCAAATATTTATCCTTTGTGGCTTTTATTATATGTGATAAAAGTATGTATAACATGTTTTGAAAACTAATAAATACCAGTGAAAATGTTAGGAACTGAAATGTTACTAATGAAACATCTTTCTCATTGACTACATTCTGGTTCAAATACATACTTCGGGATTCAATTTAAAAATCAGTTTTGACGAAAAATTGACTTTGTGATCTGTTCATTTAGCACTGGGAGCTGAACCCAGGGAGCTTGGACTACATCTTCAGCCCATTTTAATCCCACCCGAGGAAGGGTCTTGCTAAATTGCCCAGGCTGGCCTTGAACTCAGAATCCTACTTTAGCCTCTGAAGTACCTGGGATTATAGGCTTGATTGACTTTCCATGGAAATTCAGGACCTACATACCTCCTTAACTGAAATATTTAATGTGTTTACCTGTATTGTAAGGAAGAAGGCAATGTTTGTAACACTGGCGAGAATTTCAATAGAAATAGTATTCATTTCCAGTTAACATTAGTTAACTGCCAGTAGTCATGGTCGTTTTGTCCAGAATAGAGAAGCATTTGCCCAGGTGATGTCCTAGAACTTGTGCTATCATGCCCAGCTTTATGTCGTTTTAATTATGTGCGCACGGTACTCCAGTCAACCTCTAATCCGAGAAATTCTTGGGAACTGTTTGGAAGAACTCTAGAAACCCGTACCCAGGGAGTTACCTTGGTAAAAGATCGCTGAGTACTGCACATCAAACTCCAAGGAAGCTTTGGTTTGGTGACTTATGTTTTCTTCTGGGACAGCATTTATCATGATGACTTTTTTTTTCTATTTTACAAAATTCGTAACGAAACACACCCAGGACATTATTATTTTTCAGGATATACTTTGTTCATTTTTTACTTCATCCCAAGATTTGAAATGATAGTATTCCTGAACTTCTTTCAGGCTAAAATTTAATACCTACTGTGGAACCCCTCTCCAGTGACCTCTTTTTCTCCTCTCAGTAAATTCCACACTGCTTCACTTGGCAACTGTCTGCTAGAGTTATATGTAAGTTGTGGGTAATTACTGTATTTTCATCACAGTTTTTGTATGCTATGTTTCATAATTTGAAGGCTTTAGGATTTGGTCTTCTACTCTGAATCACATACAAGAAATAAATGCCCGGGACCACATGTAGGCCCTAAGGTAAACTGACACTGTTTTGAATATACTGTCTGCTTCAAAGATAGACCTTTCCCTTATGAAAATAACTTTAACTATTTCTGTACCTCACAGGCTGCTCAAGAAAGAGAAGAACTTCAAAGGGAAGGCGACAGTTTGGATGCGAAGATCAACAAAGCTGAAAAAGAAATCTATGCTCTCGGAAACACCTTGCAAGTGCTGAACAGCTGCAACAGAAATTACAAACAATCTTTTAAAAAAGTGACTCCATCTAGTATGTAGGAGTTATATATATCTATATTTATATAGTGAAAGCTGATATTTACTTAAGAGGAATACTAGTGAAACGTGGAGAAAGTGCACTGTGTTTCACTGGGTCAGAAAAATCAACCACCCTTCCCCTCCCCTTTTGTGTAATTAGCCTGATAAGGTATAAATTATTAGTGTGGCATATCACTGCTCTCGGAATTAATTTTAAATCTGAAGAAAGTGTGTTGCTGCTGTACATTAACCAAAGAAGTGGCTATTACATTCCTGTATGGCTTTTCCTCAGGTAAAAGGAATTTAACCTTTCATATCAAAGAAATGTTAGAAGTTCAATATATATAATACTTTAAGATTGCTTGCTGCGTAGTATACTGAAAATTCAAATTACATAAGTTCTCTGAATTCTAGGTGATGAGTATCAGATAAAAATTCAACTAGAAGAACAAAGAAGAGCTGCTGATGAAAAATACAGATATAAACAGAGACAAATCAGAGAACTTCAAGAAGATATCCAGGTAAATTCTATATGCTTGTTAGAAAGGAACACTTGATAAAAACCACCTATCATTATTACCACTTCTAGTCTCTAAATCTTGCACAAAGAAGACAGTTACTTAGAGGCTCTTTAGGGAGATAGTAGGGCATATGGGTCTAACTTAAAGGAGACTCATACTTGTCCATTTAAACAAGTGATGGCAGTATTAGGCAAATCAGTTAAAATCCCATTCTAAGCACTGACGATTATTTATTAGTTGATGGATTACAGCTAGCAAATTATCATATGTTCACCAATTTAGTATCTATTTAATGAACTTTTATTTAATTCCTGAAAGATCACATTAAGGTTGCTTCTGAAAGTTTAAAAGATAAAAATAATCTAAAGGAAATCACCAAAAGACAAAAGAACATGTGCTGTAAGCAGGCCCTCTCTGTAAAAACTTTTTAACAAAGAAAATTCAAAGGACACATATAAATTGTGAATCTGAACTATATGCATTTTAGTAATTGCTTGCATTATTTTTTCTAAGTATGATTAAAATACTTTTCCATGGAATTATATAAAAAACTTAATCCACAAGACCAATACACTGATTTATACACCATATGCATCAAGGTGTGTCACTATATACAAGAATAAATGAACTACGCGAATACTTGACAAATGGCAAATGACAAGTCAGCTTTTTATTCTAATCAATATGTTAAAACTTTTCCAGAGCATGGAAAACACTTTACAACTTACAGAACATTTAGCAAATAATGTCAAAGAAAAGTTATCAGAGAAGCAAGTTTTTGCATCTCAACTACACAGAGAAACTGAGGAGCAGAAGCCAAAACTAGAGAGAGTGACTAAACAGGTATAGTTATGTTTGTACAGTGACTTATATTTACAACTTTTTCAAGTTTAAATGGTAAGATCAAGTCCTTTATCCTTAAAAATTCTTGAATAGGTTTATATAACTTTATTTTACCAACAGTGTGAAAGACTCACAAAAGATATCCGTCTTCTGAAACACACAAAAGAAGAAACACCAGAAGAACAAGACATTAAACTTCGTGAAGTGAAACAATTTCATAAGGTCATCGATGCAATGCTAGCTGACTGTATAGGAGAGAATGCCGAGGTCCATCTTATCCTTCAAACATACTTTAAGCAGGTGATATACATAGTACCTTCGCATTTTTTTTGGTTGGTACTGGGGGTTGAAATCTAGGCTTTGTGAATTCTAGGCCAAGTGCTTTGCCACTGAGCTACATCCCCAGTCTCTAATTTTTTAACACTTAATGAAAATAAAAATTTTTTTATGATGTTCATCATAAAGTAAAATCTAATTTAAAAATTTTTTTTTCCTAAATTCTGGTAGGTCTAATGATTACTGTTCCGTATTTTTCCAGAACGGATTAGAGCTGCCTATCGTTAGCTCTAAAGGCAGCCACCAGAGTTCTGCATCTTCTTCTTCACAGGCTTCCCTGGTATCTCTAAGGTAAGTGGAAGGTTAACTACCTCTTTTAAGTTTCAAAATGGCAACAGAAGTATATACATGGAGAGTATAATTTTTGTGAATAAAGCTGTATTTGGGAAATTTTACACAGTCGGGTTTATTATACTTTATTGTGCTAAGAAGCAAGCTAGTTTTTCCTTCTGCAACTGAATGTTATCAGAATTGTTATCAGGGATGCTTAATCAACACTCTTATACATTGTTGGCAAAATAAAATTTATTAATGATGATCATGATTTTAGAATTTCCAATCTCCTACAGCCAGCAGCTACTTAATACCTTGCAGTAGTTCGTATAGATTTTAAGGAAAAAACAAAGTCCTAAGAAACAGTGCTTAAGTACTTAAAACTGTTTCTTACATAAAGAAGCTAAACTTCTCTGTACTTTCATGAAATATATTTTAAAAACATTTGAATTGTATGCGTTATTTTCCAAATGATCCCACCATTTTATCCTTGCCAACACACCATACTTTTCTCTTCAGCTTAAAGTATATATACTGTTATTTTAATTACTCTTGCAAACTGTTAGTGCTTTTAACTCTAAGAGGCTGCCAAGAGTTGAAAATATTTATCTCACAGAAACATATTTATTGAAATTATGTTCCTATTTCCTTTTTAAAAATTATTTTTGGATATTAATGATCATACTTTTAAAATTTATTAACATGTAATATGTACATTTTCTCTTATGGAATGATAGTATCTTTTTTCAATGGGGGGGTCTATTCAAACATAAATTTGTACTAAACTTATAATTTTTTTCTCTTTTTCCGTTAGGTCCTCTAAGAGTAGCGTAAATGTTTCTGCTTCTCAGGCTTCCATTAAAGTCCTCGAGCTCCGCCTCCCAGACTCTTCCCCAGGAGGCACTAGTTCTAGGCCAGTCAGTGCGAGCACTAGTTCTACTGATATGAAAAGCAACAAGAGCGGCAAATAAACATTACTTTTTTGAACAAGTTTTAAACACAAACACAAAAATCTCCTACCTAATACTAAGTCCCATCTGACTTTTGAGCTCCATATAACAATAGAGGCCTACTGAATAGGGTCAGAAATACAAGATGATCAAAGGTTTTATTCAGTAGAAAATGTAAAAACTGTTGCTTTTAAGGTAATTTTCTTAGTTCCCTACTATTTTATTTTTAGAGAAGGAAGATAATAGCAGATTCTTAATAAAGCTACAAAGTATATAAGCATGGGGCAAATAGTGTTTTTCATTGCAATTTTCATGTTTGTAATGTTAGAATATACTACACGCTTCTAAGGTAACAGAATCTGAGGAAGAAATTTCTGAAGATTCACTGCATATTACAATAAGAAAATTTGTATTTATTTTATAAGATACCCAAATTAGACTTTCTTTATGCAAAGAAATTTATTTCTCAGACAGTTTTTGGGAAAAAAAAAAAATCTGTTAAAGGCAGTTTCTTCTTTTGGTATAATTTTTAATTAAAAAAGAGTATTAACTCCCCCCCTGAAGAAAACTGGTAAGAGAAATACAGCTTAGTAAAAAAAAAGAAAATACAGCTTAAATTTCTAAGAATTATTCTACTCTGCCCTTGCAAGAAATCAAACATATTAAAGATTTTGCTTTAAAATAAGCCAACTAATTATATTTTTTGAGATTCCCTTAATAAACAATTTAAAGAAAGCTAGCTATGATTTGCCATTAGAATTCTACAGATTTATCCTGGAGACAGGTCACCAGATTTAGAATTAGTTTATCCAGTTAATACTTTGTGCCCAGCACTGTGAACTTTTGGAACAGAGTATGACATACCAAGAGATTTCAAACACATGTACTAGAATTTAAGCACATCCTTCAAACCTTGAAAAAAATTCAGCGTGAATGTTATTGTCTTAGCCATTATTCACAAATCCTTCTCAAAAGCAGTAATGTTAGTAAATCTCTCCTGATTTCTTGTTTTGTTTTAGAAATAGCTTACAAAATACAGTATTTAAATCCACAAATTAAGATGGGTAAAAAGCTGGGTAACTTTTTGGCTGAAACGTTGCTCTAAGCATGAGATTCATTTAGAAGTTCTAAAACCTGATTATTATATAGTCATTTTGTTCAGCTAAATTCTTATTCTCAGTTATGTATAAGTTTGTAAATTACCTGGAACTCAAAACATAAAATGTATTCTTGAAGTCAAGAGTTGCATCTTATTACTTGCTTTCTTTGTTCAGTCACTTTGCTATGCTTTCTCCTTTCACTTGTAATATGGAAAATAGTAGCAACTATATACAAGTTTACTGAAACTGGGTAATATAAATGTACAGGGATTGACATACAGTAATTTCTCTACAACTAGAACTATCTACTAAATCGCTATCTAGAGCCTAGCACAGTAATTATGGAATGGTTAGGTTTTTCGGCCAGCATACAAGTTTACATTTAACCCTTAACTAAAATAAGTTTACACTTCAGTATAATAACAACTGGCAAAACACTGAAAAATCCCTCCAAATCTGATCTTAACCCCCAAGTCATTCTTCTAACTTATTTTTGGAAACCAAAACACAGACAGTCTAAGTATGTTCAAACTACAGACATACCAATGCTGAGAAAAATTACTGAAGATGTCACTATGAATTTTTGACAGTTTAATCCCCAATAGTGGTTTTTGTTTTTTCCTTTCTGGGATCAGTTTCCTAAGTATAGCCTTAGAAACAGGTTGGACACTGCTTAAATTTGGTATATCTCAAGAGACCCTGGGAAAGAAGGAACTTTTAAATTCAATCAGCCTAAAAGATAAGGCACTATCTTAACACTGAGGTAAAATGGTATGTGTAAGTTGTAAGCTGTGCTAGAGTTTCTCAAGTTTCAAGGGGCTAGGGCAAGAGGTAGTTTCTGCTTTTTGAAAAGCTCATTATGGCCAGGTCAGGGGCACATACTTGTAATCCCAGCTACTTGGGAGGCTGAGGCAGGAGGATTGTCAAGTTTGAGGCCAACATGAACTACACAGTGAGACTATCTTTAAAAAAAGAAAGGTTGGGGATGTGTAGCTCAATGGTGGAGTGCCTGCCTACCACGTCAGAGGCCCTGGGTTCAATTAATCCTCAGCACTTCAAAACACGACAACAAAAACTCCATTATGTGGAAGTATGTAGGGACAACAGGACTATTAATACACAGAACACTGAGACTCTTCTTGCACAGACTGGTGCATGCGTGAGTTAGCCTACTCCTGTTGCCATCATCTATGTTCCTAACCAGGGGCTCTTCTCCCTGCTCCACTGCAAAGTGAGTTCATTTTCCCACTGGGCTCACACATCACTACACTTTGAAGGACACAAATAAGATTAAATAGTGTTAAAGGTCTGATATTTCACCAGTGGCAAGAAGACAGAAGGAACTGTCTCTTCTTCCTGTATCATTCTTACCTAGACCTTTGTAGATGGATACCCACCTATACCCATCCTGTGTCATCATGAGCGATGGGATTAAAATTCCACTGCCATTTATAAGCTTTTAGAATCTTAAATTACAAAGATTCTAAAAAGCATCATAATCCCAATATTTATACTTATCAACAGCTCCCAAAGAGATTATTATATTTAATACTTTGGGGAGGGTCTTTAAAATCCAAGTCCCTTCCTCCTTTAGCTCCAGCTGAAATTTATTTCTTCTGAGTAAAAAATTTATTCTGAGTAAAATTAAGCTGTGGTTGGCCCAGTCTTTTATTGAGATCTTGAGAAAAGAGGCAGTAAGGGAGGCAAGGTGCTAAGAGTAAGGAAGAAACGTAGAAACACAGGCCAGTCCTAGGCTATTTAAAAACAGGCCTAGCGACTTCCCAACAGAACATATGCAATACTAGGACAGCTCTCTAATTTTCCTTCCCCAGAGGAATAACAGATTTACAGTGTGCTTCTCTACCACTGCTGTTTTTGCTAACAGGATCAGTTTCTATTCTGATCTACTCTTGCCTAGAATACACCAGTGCTTATGGTTAAATTTCTTATGGCCACAGTGGTAACAGTAAGTAAAACAATAATAAGGGACAAATACACAAAACAGGCTCTTAATCAACTTTCCTGGTCTTATTTGAAGGTATCTGTTAAACTGAGTAAAAGCCAGTGAGTGTTCACAGACCACTTTTAATTAAATTAGGCTTTTCAGAGGCAAATTAGTAGGTGCGATCTGTTTTAAAATAAAACTGCAAAAAAAATTAGTAATTAAATGATATAAAATAGTACTCAAGAGACATTCAAACATGCTCTTTCAAAATCTAAGGGCTTTTAATGTAACAGAAAAGAGTAATTTTTCATGAAATGATCCAAGCTTTTAATGCAAATTTAACTTTCTGCCAAACAGCGAGATAGGATGGGCCCAGGAATTTGCATACACCATAATACAATGAAGCAACAATGTTTTCAGAGAATTACCTTCAGTTTAGGTAAAGAAATTTCAATTGTCATAGTAAGAAATATACTGTACATACACATACTCATGGGAAGGCTAAAACTGAACTGTGACAAAGGGACTTAACCTGAATCATAGTTCAGGTAAGCTTTCTCTAATCTCTACAAATAACTTTGGAAGCAAACATTTCTGCATCAGATTGCTATGATTAAAATACACTAAAATATTTAGTAGCAGTGCTTAGTATAATGGTACAAATTTCCTTGAAATATTAGTTTTTTGGCTTATTTCCTTTTTCTTTCTCAAATTCAGCTATCTGATTAAATATATTGAGTAAATTTTGAGGTAAATTTTTTTTAACTTTGCTTTCTGATTGCTCTTTGCTACTTAATCCATCTTCTTCTGGAACTTGTGTTCTGTTATCTTCCCTAGAACTGTCCTCTCTTTCATAATCTCCTTGACTGCTGTTTAATCGGTACCTCTGCTCATGTCTACTGGAATCATGTGATCCAGGATAAGTGTATTTCTTGTGTTTTTCACCTGACCTCCACGAGTAGTCTGAACTGGCGGGTGAAGTGGAATACCTCGTGGCACCTGGCTCCCACCTTCTGTAATGCTCTTTTCTTCCCTCTATGTCTCTTTCAAATCTCCTATAACCGTATACTTTGTCCTCTGAATTCCTACAGATGGAATCTGAGGAATTTCTTCTACTAGAAAAATGTCTTTCTGATTTATACGGTTTTTCTGTTTTGCTACCACCTGCCTGGGTTTTATAGCTATTATAAGAATCTCTCGGATCTTCAGACCTACCTCCAAAATCATCCGGTCTTTCAACTGAAGATGGAGAGAGAGGGCATCTAACTTTCTCTTTTACCTGTGTCTTTGGATACTGGAACTTATCCTGCTTTTCCAGTAGTTTTTCCACCTCTTGTTTTTGATTAAGAAAAGATGCTGAAGTGTTACTTGGAACTGGGTAGCACTCATCTTTCCTACTCTGATCTACCTGACTTGAGGATGCCCTAGATGCATGCCTTTTGGAGCTGCGAGAAGACTCTGAACGGGTCCTCTTATGTTTCTTATGCCTTTTGTGATCAGAAGACGAAGAGGATGAGGATGAAGAAGAGGAAGAAGAAACAGATTCATCATCAGATGAAACACTTGAAGAAGATGATGATTTTCTTCTTTTCTTCTTTAGCCTAAAAACATAGTTAACTCATCAGGTATGTGAAATACAAAAATGTTACTAAAGTTCATAAAGATTTTGATCCTGTTTTCCTTTCCTTAGAGATTTCCTTTTGGGGGCCAGGGACATAGTTCAGTGGCATAAGCGCCAGCCTGGCAAGCACAAGTCCTGAGTTTGATTCCAGGTACTTAAAAAAAAAAAAAAAGCTAAAAAAAAAAAAAGATTTCCTTTTGTGGGGTGTACCAGGAATCAAACTTAATACCTTTCGCTTGCCAGGCAGGTGCTGTACTACTGAGCTATATCCCCGGTCCTTGAAGATTTTGACCGAGCTGTAGCTCACACAATAATATACAAATGAAAAATGATATAATGATTTCAGTTACTACAAAATCCAATTTTACCATCAAACATGACTTCTGGAAAAAATACCTGTGCCGAGGTGTGTCACTGTGAGCACACTGCTCATTTGTGAAAGACACAGCGACACTTCTAATATTAAAAACTTAAGACTAAATGAAGCCAAAAGGAAAATATTTCAGTTTTATATATGGCTACCTCTCGCTTCACTCAGCTCTTTGTCAGGCACTGTCTTGTGCATGGTAGATGTTTAATTGTATCTTGGACGCACCAATTATGACAAGCAAAAATATCTCCAGACATTGGCAGATACTATCTCGAGAACAAACCACCCCTAGCTGAAAACCAGTGCTCTACTTATAAAACATTTCTAACATCCAGATAATTAAAATAACTTATTCTGTAGTTTAATTCTAAGATTAATTTTCTTTTCTTTCACAGTTCTAGTTTCATATTCTACTTTGGTTAGAATCTTTTATAGAAAACTGTATGGAACATATACTTGCTGAGAACTCTTAACAGGTATCATTTAAATGATTTTTTTTCTTACTTACTTTATTTCCATATGGCACTTTGGGTTCAACTCAGTAGCTGCTTAAGTTAAAATACTGAAGATTATAGTTTACCTTTTCTCCTCTTTTAAGAGCTTACGCAACTTTTCTGCACTTGTTTCTATTTTCTTTGTTTTCTGCTTTTCTTCTTTTTCAGCTTGCTTTTCTCTTAATTCCAAAGATTTCTTTTAGAACCCAGATATCAGAAAAAACCACACGTTAAAAATAGAATATACAAAACCCAGTATTTAAGAGACCACCCCAAACCAGAAACCCAATTTGGTATGCCCAAATCACCATAAAGCCACCATTAAGGAAGTATTTTGTAACATAAAAAAATTATACAGATGTTTGGCATTAATCATTAAAATGGCCAGAACAGTATTGAGGACCATATTGCAGGTGGTATCCCATGAAAAGAGGGGAAGCCATTGCAGTGGTACCAATGACCCAGGGTGCAAAAAAGGATAAAAATAAAACATAAAGAATTATTTTTAAAAATTGAAAAATTTAAAAAGGATGCAAAGTTTACAAATAAAATTCAAATGAAGACATTCCATTAAGGTGAATTGGGGTTGGGAACACCATGTTCAAATACAAACCATTTTAAAAATAGCACAGCCCAGTTGGATGCATGATTACATAAGAAATCATTTTCCAGTTTGTGGATGGGGATGAGCAGCACCAGATGTCACAGACACAGCAGCAATGGTCCAATTCAGAAGAAAATGCATGAGAAAACATCATCATCAGTATTACAGGAAAAAGCATGTTAAATGTCTCAAAAAGGTTTTCATAATTAGCTCAATTATAGTATCAATAGTGGTAACTTTATAACTATAGTTCTAGGTAAGCTCACTACAAACTACAGTTCTCAAAACCACATACTGCATTAGGAACTTTCCTAGAGTTATTTTGAGTACACTTAAAAAAGAAGCAGCACCATGAAATAATGTCAAACCCAATACAGAAAATTGCACTTAAAAAGAAATTTTCATAATGCTGCACTTAAGAAATCTAGAATATTCTTCCCTAGAAGAAAATTCTATTTTGGCATTATTTTTAGTATCACTAAATTTCTAAGAGGAAATAAAGAATCACCTGCATATATTTATGTAGTTTCTGCAAAGCATCCTCTGCATCTTTAAAAGTCTCATCCAAAGCCAAAGCTTTCTTATAGTAACTTTCAGCATTTAGAAACTTCTCCTCTTCTTCTAACCTGAATTTGAAAGGAAGATTTAGCACTTTAAAAGCAACAAAAGTATCCAAATATATATGTAGGCCAGAGGCTTATATGACAGAACTTTTAGAGAAAAGCCATGATTAGCAAATTATTCTCCAAAATGAACAAGATCTAAATCATAGGCTTCTTACTGTAAATTATTTGGTAAAGTGGTCACAAGAAATAAATGAAAATCCACTGCTAGTTTTTTGGGGTATTTTCATGTCTTTTTGATACTGGGTCTCACTATGCAGTTCAGGCTGGCCTTGAGCTCACTTATGTAGCCTAGGTTGTTCTCGAATTTGCAACGATCCTCCTGGCCTCAGCCTCCTGAGTGCTGGGAATACAGGTGTGTACCACCATGCCCGGCCACTAGTAATGAAATAGTACTGGCACACTTTCGTAGAATTATAAGAAAACACATGATAAACTGCTACCTGTAAATTTAGTAGTCTTGAGTGTTAGCACAGAACTATATAGGCTATTATTTCCTAGTAGTTTATGGAAATTTTTCCTTTCTACCGATTATTTTTTTTTTTTTTTTTTGTCCAAAAAAATCCATTAAAGTTCTGTGGAAATAAGCAGACACACATACTCCATAACCAGTCTGTGGATATAAAGCTCACAAATCTATGCTGTAAAAAAATTAAGTTTGAAAAGTATTGATAAAGAGCAGTGAAAGGACTCTGCAAAATGCTTTTAGTTCATAGAGAACAAATGCGGTCAGTTCTGTGTTGGCAGAATAGACTTAGGCAGACAAGGACCAAGTCAAAGATGGCTAACAGTTCTGGCTGGGGTAACTGGCTGATGCTCACTCAGATGGTCACCAAACACAGGTAATAAGACAACTACATCTCCATAGGCACTAGCTATTTACCTTCTGAGAAGCTAATCCAATCACTATTGAGAGGTTCATATAAGTTAAAAACAAGTATGCAGAATCTCATTAATTTGGAATTTCTAATGATTCAGACTAAAGTTATCATTCAAACAGGAATTAGTCAAATACATGACACAGAAAAGAGATGATCTATTTTTTAAAAAATTAATACTAGAATATAATCATGAAATGGGATTTTAATTATTAAAGTAGACTGTTACCAAATTATTTATGTTTGAAGTATTACATTTCTTCAAAATAATCTATAAATCACACTGGTCTATCAGTCACTAAATCTTTTGATACAGCTACTATGCCAAACATTATTTCAGTAATTCTGTTTCAGTGATTCTGAACTGAGTGAGCTACAGATGCTATTTCCTTACATAAAGTTTGAGCTTTTATAGTAGTTGGTTGAATATGAGACCTACTATTAACAAAATCTGACACTTACTGCCCTCCTCTTTCTACAAGTGTCTGGCAGAGGTATTTTCGTGCATTCCTGTGAGTTGGACAATTTTCTAATGCAAGCTCAAAATCTTCTATTGCTTTGTTCAGACTTCCTTTGGTTGCGTATCTGAAGACATTAAATAAAATTAGAGATATTTACCCTGTGAGCTATTTATAAATCTTTTTCACATTTACTTAACACTTTTAAAACCTGTAATTCACTTACAATGCTCCACGAGCTACCAAAGCTTCCACATTTTGTTTGTCTATTTCCAGAGCTTTATTGTATTCATTCATAGCATCCACATGACGTCCAACCTTAAAATAATCAACTCCAATCTTCACACTTTAAAAAAATAAAATGTTAGTATAAATATATCCTAAAGGCAAATGTCTTCAAATCTGGCAAACATTTAGTTTTCAAAAATACTTTCAACATACCTAAGAAGCACTTTGCTTTTTAATATTTTCATAACGAACATTTATAGAACATAGATATTGATACGGTTCTTTTTGCAAAAAACTGAAAATACTGAATGAAATTGAGGTCTAATAGTTACAACATAAGAGCAATGTATTATCTATCTAAAAAGTTAATGTGAAAAGACTCTTAATTCACATATAAACCAATTCTGGTCTTAATGATGACATGAAAATGCTGGCTTATCCTAACCTTTAGACTAAAGATTTTGTGAAAACAATCTTCATACCATTTTAAAGCCCAAGATGCAGACTGTTTCTTTCTTAATGCAGAAGCAAAATCATCTTCAGAGAAATTTTTGCTATTAAAGAAAATAAAAGTTGGAACAATAAATACTTTTTAAATAACTACATTTCACTTTGCCTGACAGGCCCTCAGCAGTGAGTACATCCTAAGCAAGAGATCTGTAATTAATTTATACAGCAAATATGATTAAACTGTCAAAAATATTATGTACAAAATAGATTTGTAAAGCATAAAACATGTGATACAGGTCCAGGAGATGGGATCCCGTTTATTCAACCTTGGCAATATTCTCTTGCTAGGCTTAGGATGCTCAGTATGTTTTTTAGCTATTCATTTAAGTTTGGCACCCCCTCCCCCCACACCACCTAAGAGAGCAACACTGATGTACTGTACCTTTGTAGGCCTCTCATTAAAGACGGTGGATTAGATTCATCTATTCCTAGTTTTTCTAGGAGGAATTCAACTACTCCTGGATTAACAAATCCCAAAGAATTCTGCATGATATTTTCATAGGATTCCAAAGAATTACTATTTAGCTCAACACTCCTCCTTAAAAAAAAAAAACAAAAACCACAAAAATATAAAAATGAGTAAAATTATTAGTACATACCATTTCTTTTAAAGAAATAGCATTATTTCTACCTTCTACCAAGTCTAAAGGAATTTAAAGTTTATAAAAATACAATGAGGACAATTTACAGTAAGACAAACTAAAATTCCATGTGTGAGAAGTTTCACAAAATATACTATTTTAATCCAAGAAACTTGCAATGAACTGCTTCTCAAACAGTTTGGATAAATACCTGTAATACAGAGGAAGCTCTTCAGAAGTAATTACACCTAGTTTAATACTGGATAGGTGTGGTGGAAGAGATGAGCTATACAGAGACACCGCAAGCTTTTCATGGTACCTGTCAATATCCTTGATTCCAGCTTAAAATGAAATAAAAAAAGAGAACTAAGCCCAAAGAAAAATGTAAACCAACATAAAAATATATAAAAATTGTTAAACACTACCCCATTAGGCTACATTGTAAAAATTGATTAAAAAAAAAAACAAAAAACCTTCGTTTTTTTTTTTTTCCTTTTTTTGGTTTTTTGGGTCTTGCTATTGTAGTGCAGACTGGCCTTGAACTCCCTATGTAGCCCAGGCTGGCCTTGAACACCCCATGATCCTCCTGCTTTAGCCTCCCAAGTAAGTGCTGGAGTACAGGTATGCACCACCACACCCGACTTCAGTAAAAAAAATTTTAATTGTTGACTTTTTATTAGTAGAACGAAACTGAGCACCTCGAATGATGTCGCCAGTTTGGTAATATGATAAAGGATCTCCATGGTTACTGTGAGAAGGCACATCTCTTAATGGGCAAAGAGCCTGGAATGAGAAGTATTTGAAAACAGCAGACATTTCATTCTTCAGTGAGATTAGTTATCTTCTTTTAACTGCTCAGTACTAATAACTGACATGAATATTAAGAAACAGCAAAAACCCAACCTGTTTACTTTTTAACTGACATATAATTTATGTATTTATAGGGCACAGTCTGATAATTTAATACATTTATACCATGTGTAATTACATTAAGATAATTAGCATTTCCAAATTATTGTTTTTCTTTCCAAATTATTTCTTTGTGCTTAGAGCCTCAGGACCCCTCTGGTAGCTCTTCATAAAATATACATTCATTAGTACTGCACTATAGAACACTAAAACTTATTTCTCCTATTTAACTGTGTGTCAATTTCCTTCTACCTCCCCCAATCCCTGTCAGACTCTGCTAACCACTATTCTCACTTGAGATCAACTTTAGCTACCATACATGAATGACAACATGTGGTATTTGTTTTACTGTGTGTGACTTGTTTTACTTAACACAATGTTCTCTACTTCCATCCATTTTGCCACAAAGGACAATATTTCATTCTTTTTTATGGCTGAATAATATTTCATCTGTTCATCTGCCAATGGGCGTGTTGGTTTAGCTAAGTTTAAATGCAGGTTTTAGTTATAAATAATTTCCATATATAAATATGGTAAAACTTGTTTTCTGGCTCAGTTTGAAAACTATAAATTGCACAAAACTTTCTATTAGATTTAGGAACCAAATACAGATTATAAAACAAAAAGACATTTTGCACTTGTAAAAAACAGAATTGTGCCCAGAAGGTGTACGGTGTCCAATAAAAATGTAACGTGACTTCTCCAAAGTTCTGTTTTTCTTCCTTTTCATTTTCCTGGACAGTCAGAAAATCTGAAACCTTTTAAGATGTCATTTCAAATTGTGGACTATTCATCTAGGGCAAAATATCTTATTATAATGGGCAAATCTCTTACTTTTAATTATTGAAAGTATATAAATGAACTTTTCTGAATTATCCAAGTATCTCATGGAAATATTAAATGATTATGTTCCACTAGAATATAACTGCAGAATACCAATCGACCTCACCATGTCCGCTGATCTCTGAGCATGTAGAAAAGGAAACTGCCCTTGCAGAGTCCAAAAAAAACCCCAAAACCAAAAATGGAGGAAGAAACTTTTTTTCCCAGTTAATACTTCCCAAAATACCCAGGAAGTATACTTCAAAAAACTGAAAAAAAAAAAAAAAAAAAACCACATCATTTTTGGAATGAGATAACCATCAAAAAGAGGAAACTGAAAAGCTAGTAACTTACTGTGATTTCTAAGTGGGATATGTCTCTCATGATTCCACTTCCTAAACAGATTAACACCATGAAAAAACCAAATTCCCGAATGGAGCTAATTCTTCCAATTACTATATCACCACGCTCGATATCTCGGAAAAAAAGTTCTCTCCGATCCATACTAGGTATCTCCATGAATTGCTCTAAAGGCGGCATGACTGCAAAATGCTCTGCAAAAAATAATTACAACCGTGAGTTTTGATTTCCATTCGATTACAATCATACAGTTTTGATTTCCCTTTCACCTGAAATACCGTTAAACCAACCATTCAATCCTAAAAAGATTTCAGGACTAAACTCACCTTCATTGTCTTCATGAACTTCAGACGTCCCAGGTGCATCTGATTTCCAGGAAAGCGCAAAGAGCAGATCTGCTTTTTTGGAGATGAATTTTTGTATTTCGACATTGTCGTATCTCTTCTCTTTTCTTAAAAAGAACACAATTTATGAATATTAGTTTATCTGTAGAACCTTTTGCATCCAAACTTCTGCTTATGGCTTTCATTGCCCAATCCGCTCTAGGCTCGAGGTCTTACATCCTTGGACAGTTTTAACCAGGAATTCGCGTACTCGTCAACCTGGAGGTGGAGGGCGGGGAAACTTAACAAGTGACGCCTCCAGCTCCGGAGATAAAAGCCCAGGGGACTTTAGTTAAGAAATCAGCGCCGGGCGGAGCAGCGCCAGCGAGGTTGAAGTTCAGCCAGCGACGCGCACGCACGCACCGGAGCGCCGACCCTCCTGCACCCAGCCCTCCGCACCAGCGAGGCAGTGCTCTCGCGGCCCGGCTCGCCTGCGGCTAGGCGCAGCCCTGCGCGGCGGCTGCGGGCCCGCACTGGGTCCCCTTCCCCGTCTCGCTGTCCCATTACCTGCCCTGTAAATGCTGCTGCGGCGGCGGACCCCGAGCGGGCTCCGCCGCCGACCCCAGGAGGCTCCGGAAGTGCGGGTTGTCCTGCTGCTCGCTCCGGAGTAGAAAGAGCAGGGACGGCCCGTGGCAGTTCAGGGACTGCCGCAGGAGGTCCCGGTCCATGACTAGAGACTGCAGGCCCGCCGGCAAGTGGGCAGCGAGGCCCCCGTTCTACGCCCGCTACATGAGCTGGGTGATCTGTGAAGCTAAGGCAGCAGCCTCAAGGTAGCCGGAAACACACGGCACAGTCTACAGTAAGCCCGCCTCTCCCGGAAGTATTCGGAGCCGCCCCCAGAGGTAGCGGGGCGGAGATCTCGCGAATCCGGGCGAGACTACGGAAGCCGGAAGGAAAGGGCTAAGGAGTTTGTGTGAATGACTGATGTGAGAAACTTGCCTTAAAAAGATTTATTGACGTTATTAGGTAGAAGTAGCCCGAGTTGTACTGTAGGGTGACCAATTCATCCCCGTATTTACAGAGGCCAAGGTAAGAACTCCAGGCTAGTGGCACAAGATCCTTCCCTCACAGTCCTTGCTGCGTTGATAAGTCCCTACGACAGGAAAACAGCTGCCCTCGAAAAGTTTCCTGATAGACTAAAGAGCGGAAGAGAGGAAAGGAAATAACATTAAAAAGCGAGTTGTGTTCACCGTTGATACCCCATTTCTAATAACGATTTTAGAATTATGAAACCGTATACCTTTAATGTACAGACATACTGTTCTAGTTTTATAGCTTTATCCTATTAGATCAGAAGCTGTATTCATCGAGGGGGTATTGAGTGCCTATACAGAGTAGTGACAGTGAGAAACAAGTGTACTCAAAACTCAGACTGGGGGCTTTATTTTTTTATTTTTATTTTTTTGTGGTACCGGGGATCGAACTCACAACCTTGCGCTTGCCAGGCAGGTGCTTATGCCACTGAGCTATATCCCCAGCCTCCTGGGGGCTTTATTTTTGCTTAGTGCTTGCATTGAGTGGCAGTAGCCACAGTAGTGAGGTGTCAATGACAACTTTGTTCTTCACTTCCTGAATGTCACTCCCACTGCAGAAAGTGAAGATTCACTGGATCTTTGACAGGAGTGGAAGTGGAGAGAAGTGAGGGAATTAGTCTTGCATCTCATTTGGGAGAAACTAGCTCATATGGAGTTTCACGAGGTGGACATATAAAGGAAACACTATTTTCATTTCTGCTTTTATAACTTTAAAATTTTCTCTAAGAAACTACCACATGAAGGGATATGAATAAGTGAATATGTGTTTGGGCGGGTAGTAAGTGTGAGAAATGGGGAAGGAAGAGTATCCAAAATAGTTCTTTGATGTCTGGCTCCTAGGCCATTCCCTTTCTAAAATTTTATATATATATATATATATATATATATATATATATATATATATAATCTATTTCCTTTAATAGATACCACTGTAGACCCTGGAGATACAAAGATGAAGGAAACAGGATGCAGGAACACTATGGTTCTTGAATGGTTCACAGTCCAGTGGGGGAGTAGACTTAAGAAATAAGTATGGCACAGTGGTAAGTTCTGTAGTTGTGGACTCCTACCAGGCTGTCTGCTTATCAGGCTGATCCCTTTTCTCTGGAAAGAGCAGTAATGGCACTTTCCAGTGAGGGTTTGGGAGGAGCGGGGAGAGCCAAGTATGTGTAGTTCAGGAGGAGAAAAAATATATAATTAAAGGAGTAGAGTTGCAGAAAAAGTCAGATGCATTCTGGAGACCAAAAGTGTGACACTGAGATAGGTAGGGATATTTTAGTTGAGAGGTGTTTTCATTGTGTAAGCTTATCATTTCAGGAGGGCTACAGACTGATAGGAAGAGACCCCTTGCCTCCACTATGTGCAGGTGCACACACACGGATAAAATTCATGATTTATTTAGCAGAAAACAGAAAATTGAGTGAAGTAGGGTAGCTGTATCAAGCAGGAGCAGAAGCAGTGTATTTCAGTGTAACTTTTCTTGGCTCTCCAAGTTTTCCCAGGTAACATGAACTAGTTTATTTGCTGAAGATAGTCTTCTGTTTAATGTCAGAAATTTCATATTATCATTTGTAAAGGTCATACAAATAACCTATGACTTTAGAAGAAAAATTTCTTTCTGGTTCTTGATACTGATAGAAGCAATTTCAACAAGGCTTGATCTTCATGTGAGGGATGAGGTTTGTTTCAGGGAAGGCAAATACCCACTAAGAGCCTAGAGGTCTGTTATGATATGTTTAACTTGTTTTTCAGCAACTTTTTAAGACTCGTCTTTTTTTAAATAATAGAACTTAAGTGAGGTGAAGTTACAGAAATTTCCCATATACACAAGGCATGATCGAAAGATATGGTGAATATTTAAATTTAAAAGTTAGTATGATAAAAGACACACTGCCATTAATTCCCCTCAAAAATTTCTTCCTTGCTGTGAATACACTTATCCTATCATTCTTGCCACTTTCTGAAGCAGTTCTAAAGTCCTCTTTCATGAATATCTTTTTTGCACTGTTGTGGCTGCTTTGATATCGTGACTGATTAAAAAATGTTTACCTTTCATGGTCATTTTTACTTTGGAGAGGAGCCAGAAGTTGCACAATGCCCAATCTAGTGAGTAAGATACATAAAGGCACACCATAACGTTTCTATGCACCTGTATTTCTGTTGAATGGGGCTCAGTATCAGCATTCACTGTATTTTCTATTACACCTCATGCGGATATTCACAAAAAAGACATCTAGAACTGTTTCAGAAAGTGACAAGAATGATGGGATAAGTGTGTTCAGAGAAAATGGGGGAATTTTGAGAGGGATTAGTAGCAATGCATTTTTTGCTGAAGGAATTTTTTAAAAATTTAAACATTCACTGTGTATTTTGATCACCCTTTGTATTCTGCTGCTACACATGCATAACCTTCCCCCATCATCAATATCCCCCAGAGTGGTACATTTATTGCAACTAATAAACCTAACTGACACATCATGTTACTCAAACTCCATAGTTTACCTTGAGTTTACTCTTGATATCATACATTTCATAGTTTTTGACAAATGTAAAATAATTAGAGACAGCTAAGTTAGGTAGAAATGTTATAGGAAGTCAGATAGGGCTAGGCCCTCGAAGGAGTCAGTGCAGAAGAGGAGATACATTATAACTGTGGGTGGAGATGCATTCCTTGAAGACCAGACTCAAGACAAAGATGAAATGACTATACCTACATACTTCCCTTAGTGATAACCAATAATGGTCAATATTCTAAATAGACATTAATTATCTGGATGGAGAACCAGGACCTTGACCAACCCCTTCCAGGAAAGGTCCTTGTTCTTTCTGTGCACACTGGCTACATGACTTGCTTCCCCATTGGGTCAGTGTTACCTAAGTGACTACACTTGTAATTTTACTGGTTGATCATAAGTTTTGTCTCACCTTGCACCCACCTTGTGATTTTGCTCTATAAAGCTTCCTTTGATAAGTGGGCTTGTAGGCAACTCACTTTCTGGGTCCCCTTCTGTCTCTCTTAAATAGAAACTTTCTTTCCTTTCATAAGTATTTCCTGCTCTTTACCTCTGTTGTTCCTTAGAATTCATTCTTTGATTTGGGAGACCATGAACTCAGTGTATGAGACTTCTAGTAGGTTGGGAATTATAATGTTTCCCTTATATTATTTGGAGGTCCTAATCATCCCTGTATCCTAATGACATATATTCACCATTATAGTATCATATGTAGTAGTTACACTGCTCCAAATGCATCCTCTGTGCTCTGTCCTTCCCTCTATTCCCAGAACACCTGGCAGTCATTGAAGGTTTACTGTCTCCATAGCTTTTCCTTTTCCGAAATATCATATAGTTAGAACCACATAATATATAGCTATTTCAGGCTAGCTTATTTCATGTAGTAATGAGCAGTTAAGCTTGTTTCATGTCTTTTCATGGCCTGATGCCTCATTTCATTTAGCACTGAATAATATACTGTTATCCAGATATAACACAGTTTATTTATCCTTTCACTTAGAACATCCTAATGGCCTCTAAGTTTTGGAACTTGTGAATAAAAATTTAACATTTTCCTGCAGGGTTTTGTATGAATTAAGTTTTCAGCTTCTTCGGGTTAGTACTGAGGAGTGTGACTACTGGGTCATATGACAAGAATATGTTTAGATTTGTAAAATTTAAAAAAAGGACCAGACTGTCTTAAAAAGTGGCTGCCCCACTTTGCATTCTTGTGAACCCTTAGAAACTTTCTGTTGCATCACATCGTCACCATCATTTAGTGTTGTCAATGTTCTGGGTTTTTGTCATTTTAATAGGTACATTGTGCTACCTCATAGTTTTAATCTGCATTTCCCTGATGATGTATGATGTGGAACATCCTTTTAAATGCTTATCTATCGTCAGTGCAGTGGTACCTCTGTTCACAAACTTGATTGTTTCTACAGTTCTGGTTGCAAACCTGATTGGCTGAGAACCGAATCAAATTCAAAGATTAGGTTCAATGTTGACCTTATGGAAAAATTTGATTCAATTCTCACCCAGTTTGGTTTGAGAGAGAAGTGACTTTGTGAATCGAGGTACCATTGTGCTTGTTTTTTGATACAGTGTCTGTTTTAGGTCTTTGGTCCATTTTTAAATGATTGGTTTGATTTCTCATTGTTGAATCCTAAGAGTTCTTTGAATATGTTTTTTGCAAATACTTTCTAGCCTGCAACTTGCCTTTTTATTCTCTCAATGGCATCTTTTCTTTTTTTGTCTTTTTGAGACAGGGTCTTATTATGCAGTTCAGGCTGGTTTTGAGCTCACTTTGTAGCCCAGGCTGGTCTTGAACCTGCAATGATCCTCCTGCCTCAGCCTCCCAAGTGCTGGGATTACAGGCATGAGCCACCATGCCCAGCTTCACTGGCATTTTTGTGGAGTAGAAGAATTTAATTTTAATGAGATTTACTTTATCAATTCATTTTTTTTTTTAGGAAACACATAATAATAAACATACATCCATTTATGAAATAGGATAGGAACATTGCAAACTTTACACAGTTATGGATAGATTAGTAGGAAAATATCAATGGCTGCTGTAATACATGGTGGTA